ACGTCTTCTGATTGGCTATCATTCTCAAGGTCACTTAAAATTCGTTCAAAGGTCGCCAAATGATCTTAGTTAAACAATCACATGAAGCTAGGAAGTACTAGGAAAACTGCTTCATTCTACTGTACGACGTTTTAACAATACACAACTATCAAAACAAAACTATTAATACAAAGAAAATCATAAATCTATCCGATCGATTTTGCACATTGCATTTTGATTGGTAGCTTTCTTTTAAATTACTGAATCACACTAGTTATTTTCATAATACCTAAGTTTATAGTTAGAGTTAGTAGATGGTAACTTAGATTCTAATTGAGTTATATATGTACATAGTAAGTACACCACAAATTATTATAATCCTAGATTTTTACCATTTTAAGAAGAAAAAAATGCCTTACAATTATCATATTAATGGCTGTATTGTAAAATATTTGTTCAGTATCTTTGAATACCAACTAATTTCTCTTTCAAATCTATAATCAGTGAATGAAAACTGATTGTATATACAAATACATATATTATTTTAATAAGTTGCTTGAACGAACGTTTGTTCATTTATTTTAAATATGTTCGAGTAAGTCAGTCAATCAATCAAACAAGCATTAGCAAACGTAAAACATAACACATACTCATAAGTTCAAGTTGTTATATCATATTAATACAAAAAGATCAAGTTATTAAGACAAATATGAAAATAGTCAGAATAGTAACAGTATCAGTTGTAGTGAAAAAAATACATTAGACACTAGACAATATGTCAAGGAATACTTTTCACCAGACAACCATTGAAAACAAAGAAACCCTGGACAATCATTTTGTCTAAGTGTTCATCTACGACCCTGTCAAATAATGAATCCAGGACCTTCATATATCACAGCGATCACCTAACATTTAGATCACTGTTTTATTATTTCCAATGGTTTCCTTAATCAAGATTATTTCGCAATGTACATTGTAAAATTCGGGCACCTTCACAAGACCCTGTAGTAATAAATCATATGATTCAAGAAGAATGAATGAATTTGTGGAATAAGAAACCTGGAATTACTGTTAGTTTCATAATCTGATGGAAGACAAAGAGTGAGTACATCTGTGTCATTGTATGAACAAGTAGACATAACTCTAATTAGCTATGATAAAAAAGCGCTTGGATTTAGTACATTTCCTATTCACATATTTTTGATTAAGCAATGTATTAGTGTCAAGAAAGATATTATTATGTTTACTTTTCCGACCCACTTTCATTCAGTGTCACAATTAATCCCATTATCACTAAATTATTATTATTAGCCTGTTGAAATTCTCCATCACCACTGAAATTCTGTCACTGATCGAGATTACTGGTTATCTTTTTCTGATATAACTTGTTAGTAAATATCAGACAGTTATATAATACTATTATTCATATCTTATATTCACTGATTTCGAACTTTCCAAAAGCCTCATCTATGATTCGTACCAATCAATATTATTTGGTTCTGTCTGTATAGTCTCCATTGATAGTCAATACGGTGAAAAGATGTTAATAAAGGAATGGGAATAAATGAAATAAGCAAACGAAAATAAGAAGTGTTAGGTGAAAAGTAATTCAGTCTTCGAATGTTTAGTTAGTTTTAATGACTCACGTTTAATGGATGAATGTGTTTTTAGAGAAACAATTTTAATGCCGATTGACTATATATACATATATAACGTCTATAAATTTTCATTTAAAATAAGAATGTACTATGTATTTGTGTGGTGTATGCTACTTACGTCGACAGACATAAGTAGTATGCAACACTAATCAGAAGTGAAATGCCTGATATAAAAAGGTTGAGAAGATCAAATTGAAGAGAACAGAACTGTAAACAGAGAGTATTTGTAATAGCAACAGGAATGGAGGAACGATAAAGTTTGTAAGAGACAATCGATGAAAGTTGTGCAAATGAAGTGCGTAATTTATGGTTTTCGTATTCTACGAAAACATTCCGTAATTTTGTATTAACTTGTCAATTGGTCTTTCCAGCTTGACTTCGTTCACTACATTTGAACTGTAGCTAACAGGGGAATCTAGGATGTTTGTTTCATCTTATTTAAAACTTTTCAGTTTGATATATATACAACCCAATTACAAAAACACCCTGAACAGGTTGATGGTTTTATGGATTCAATAACTTTATAAATAACACACTGACTTTTACAGAGAAAGATATTGAGTTTGAATGCCAGCAGAAACGTCGAAACAGACAGCCTGACAATTGTATTAAATGGGACGAAGCGTGTGCTATGGATTTCACAGTTAACTGTAACTATAAACAATAACGGAGCAATCCTCTCAAAATATACATTTACTGATGAGGACTAATGAGTACTGAAACCGTGGAAAATCAAATAAATACACAATAAAAAGTGCATAGATTCAAGTTCAGTCTATCATTAAAATGTTTAATATGGGCAAATCAACAGTTAAAAAGCCGCCAAATATTTGTTACCACAGAAATGTTCATTATAATATCTAGTCTTATTTTCTTCTTAAGGTTCGTTAAATCAGCTTACATTCATAGTTAATTAGTGGTATAATATAAGCTTTTGACCTAAATTCTCATTACGAAAAATAGTTTTTCCAAAAAAACAAAGGCATAATATTTATTCATGCTTAAGTAGAATATATAATCATTAGGAATGTAATGTTTTGTTTACTTTCATTAATATTCAATAATGGTGTTGGTCAAGTTTCGTAAGTTGGTTTGATCATCCAAACCATCCAGTTCATAGTACGAAACTTGACTAAAATCACTCATCTGAGCTAAAAAAAATCACCGTCTCAATTATGATATTTTGTACTATATATAGTTTTTTTCATGCTATAAAGTTCATTTCTAAAAAAGATATGAATTCTTACAGATTGGAGAGTAATAGTTAGATTTCTGATGCGAGAAGTATTTACACGTCAAACATCTTGCAAAGTATCATTTATTTTATAATAGCACATAGAAGCTTTACTGTACCTCTTAATTTCTTATTAGTTTAGTAGTTGACATAAGTTTATAGTTATAATATTTAAATGTACTATTTCAAAATCTACCGGTCTTACACTCCTTTACTGATGATGCAATAAAAATAAATAAATCATTATTTTCAAACCAATCAAAAGTAAGCAATATTTTGGGAAAAAAAATCAAACCAATCAGCTAAATGTAGAAATATGAATTTCATTTGCAAATTATTTCAGTCAACCAATCAAAAGAGAGTATAAATCAGTAGGATTAAATAAAATCACACTGACATGCAAATGAACATATAAAATTTGTTCATTTCAAATAGATTACCTAAGATAATGAGATTCTTATCTAATCAATGAGAATTTAATCAGGTAGAATTTATTTATATAGATAATGGATCATAAAATCTCAATGATACATTTTCATCGGTAAAACAAGATTTAAATTCATGATTTAATAGATTATAAGTCAACCACTGGTAACTGACTGAACTACATTCTTACACAAATAAACTTGTAAATGATTGAAGTTTTATCAGAAGGGGTTTTGTGGAGATTGTAGTAATTTCAATGATTAAGATCATGAGTCAGTTGAAGCTAGACCACCATGGAAAACCTGGAAGCACTGGACGGCCGTTTCGTCCTATTATGGGACTCCTCAGCAGTGCGCATCCACGACCCCACCCCCTGTGAGATTCGAACGCAGGACCTACTGGTTTCGCGCGCAAGCACTTAACCACTAGACCACTGAGCCGGCATCCAACGGTGTTAATGTCTAACTTCAACTAATCCACGAAATCGAGCGACACATCCACCATTGTCTTGAGTGGGTTATTATCCCACAACAGACCTGGTTGAACTCCACTGGTCACTCCTTCTCACTAGAACTCCAGGATATGCCTCTCGAAGCCAGTCATCAGTGAGCACCAGTAGGTCCTGGGTTCGAATCTAGCAGGGGGTGAGGTCGTGGATGCGCACTGCTGAGGAGTCCCATAATAGGACGAAACGGCCGTCCAGTGCTTCCAGGTTTTCCATGGTGGTCTAGCTTCAACTGACTCATGATCTTAATCATTGAGATTGAAGTGTTGTTAAAAAAATTCATCTATAAGTTAACCAGATTACCTAGTAAAGCTCATAAATAATAGTTTTAAACCAACAAATGAGGGGCTACAGTAAACTATTCCATGGGGTCAGCATTGCATCGATTTTTTCAGTTACCATTATAACAATTAAATATGGCTTAAAAGGGTTATTCATAGAATTTAACTTATATGATGTATTTGCCCAATTTTCCTCCAACTGTATGTACATATCCACGTTTTCTTCGAATAACATGTAAGTTCGAAGAACGGAGATGGTATTATTTAAAAGAATTTCGGGACAAATGTTAAAGAACTTGAACTTTAAACTACCTGGTAATACCATGTGGAGACATACATTAGACATTGGTCATTCAGTAAATTCTAATATTGTCTTCCAACTTCTACGTTTTATAGAAGCATATTCCACTTAACATTTCAACTTCAGTTGATGATACAAAAGATCTTATCGCTCACCTGGGACATTCATGATTACTTAATTCCTGATGCTCTTCTCCCCCATTTTTCTTCTCTCATCTTCGAACGATATTTGTGAAAACTGTTTTTATTTATTCGATTTTTATTCATAATCATACGATGAGTATTTATTTTAGTTAAAATTATCATTTCTAATTTGTAGTTATGACTATAACTAGTCTTATTATTTTAATATTATTCAATAAAATGACTGAACTGTTTAACTGATCAGGTCAAAATGTTGATCTAATTGCTTTGTAGGCATAAACCACGTTAACTGAATGGATTTCAGCGTTAATTTGAAAATTTTATATTTTCAATAGTTAATTAACAATCAAATGAGTATGATTCTATTATTACGATAATATAAACATATATATTCAATCATTCTGAAAGTCATATAATTATCGGATTATAAACGTTTAAATGATATAGAAAAACTCTACATATATTTATTATCAATGTCATACGCATTTGATTTACACGAAAGTATTTACGGTTCTGAGCCTTATAATACAACCAATTGTAAAATCCCATCGAATCGAACAACAACACAACTTAAACAAAATGGTTATGTCAAACAATTTCTACAACAAAATGGTATAAGAAAAACGAAAAAAAGTAGTCCATTAATTTCAGTGAATGGTACTGGAGGGGGAACAGGTGAACAACGTTTTGATGCGCATTTTAAAGTATTGCTACTTGGTAATTCCGGTGTAGGGAAAACATCAATACTTAGAGCTCTTGTTGGTGAAACATTTTATCAGACTACTATTTCAACAATCGGTAAGTTAAATCAATCATTTTTTATCATTCATTATTTTAGAAATTGTTTATGAAATATGAATGTACTGATAGGTCTGAGATGATTGAAGCAAAACTCTAGATATTGATCGGGAAGAAGTGATAATCACTAAGGTCTTGAAAGAGTATTAGTGGTTACTATTAGTTGGTCAATTTGTGTGTAAACGTTTGATTCTTTTCGAAGGTCAATTACTGTTCAAATAACTCAGTAGAAGTGCATCTGACTGTCATACTGGATGACACTAGTTCGAATCGCACGAGGAGCACCAGCATCATGTCGACCTCAAACATTGCCTTGTCAACGAATACCAACAAGCATGAGATGCAAACCCACGACTTTCTACCAATTACTTCCAATCACTTAAAATCGAATCAAATGGGTATCGCGATATTGGGCTAACGAGACCAGTTATAACATTACATCGTGATAACCAGAATTTGATTTTTGCCGATGGCTAAATAACAACAACCTTGTTTAAAGGCATTTTATTGCATAATTTGTTTTCCTTGCCTCTGTTTTACGTTGTCATCAGTTAACGTTTATCAAAGCTTTTTATCATTATAAATAAAAATATAATATTTGTAATATCAAGTCAAACCTTGGTAATGATATCTACGTTTTATTATGAGTTCTACAGTTTTCGTAGTATTAATCACAAACTGATCTTAGCTAGACAACTATTGTAAACCAGGAAGCTCTGGATATGCTTTAAACTAGGGAACTTCTACAATATAAACAAAACTTGTACTGATAGCTAATCATGGGTTCAGTAGTGACTAGCTTCAAAATTTAGTCCATGGAGTCAAAGTAATAAACCATGGCTAGTGCAGTTCAACCATTTCAACTGTAAGACAGTTATCCACAATCAAAGATGACAGGTCAGTGGTCATGAACTTATTGAAGTTAAACATATACATGTTTGAATATAGGCTCACTAGTCTAGGGTTAAGTATTAATGAGAGAAAATGTAGATCCTGGACTCAACCCTTTGACGTGAGGTCGTGGATGAGAACTCCTTAGGAGAACCATATTAGAATAAAACAAGTTGTCCAATAAATTTTTGCTCTCAGTAGTGCTCTAGTTAAGATCATTTCATAACTTAAACTATAAAATTTCTACAATCTCCACAAAACTCTGTATCAATAATTCTATAATTCATCTAAAAATTTAAACTCCTTATAGGCGATGAAACACACAGAAACAATTGTGTTAACATCATTATCCTTTAACTTCAAATAGTATCGAAAAATGGACATTTTCAATGAACTATTCTAATGAATACTAACCTCTTATAGACCAACTATAATAATAAAATTGATAAAAATCAAAACAATAAACATTAAACATACTGTCCATTATGGTATAATTGAACAAAACAGATTGAAAAAATTTAAGAAAACAATTTTTTTTCCAACGAATTAATCATTCCGTTTAGTTGGTGCATATAATGAAATACTAAATCAGCTGATTTTATCTTATTTGTTTGTTTTTCTTAGTGTAAAGTACAAGGTATAAATTTTATTGTTGACTTTTTCTTCTTATATTAGACAACTGATAATCAACATATTTTTCTTGATTGGTTATATAAGAATTAGTTATTATTTAGTCATAGTAAGATGTTTATATGATTAGTTAATATGAAATGTTTAAAAAAATTGATATACTATGAATGTAAAGCTTTTTGTGGTGTTGACTGAATGCTCATGGATTTTAAATCACGAAGTGATCTTAGTTAGACCTGAAAGCAGTAGGTTAGCGTTCTTTTTTTGGTGAGTTAGTTTTCTACGAGATGGGGTTGCTAACCCCATGCCCAACCCTCCTCCTTTACCCGGGTTTGGGACCGGCAGTAGAGCTACAGGCGTAGTTTGAAACTAGTGGATGTATATTATATTCTACTATGATACTTCTTGGTAGTTTGTTAATCAACAACCTCACATGCGGGATGCACATTTCTGCAAAGTCTCATACTAATATGAAATGGCTATCCACTGCTTCCAGGTTTTCAATGATTTAAACAGTTAGTCTCTTGGATAAATTTCGATAATGTAATAAGAAGATGAAGTTTATCAGAACTATGTGATATACTAAGTATTGCGCTAATTTTTCATATAGTTCTGATAATATTTGTCTTCTTATTACATTATCGAGATTCTTCAATGATTGTTTGACTAAAATGGGCTTGCAATCTCAATCATATTAGGGGATTAAAAGTATATAACACAATCTAAAATTCTTGATTATATTTTCAGTTTATTGGTAGAGAAGAAAGGAAAATATGTATGTATGTCTTCAGTATACTTATAAAGTTTTCAATAAAAGGAATAAAAAATGGTGTATTAGGATGTTCTGTGGTTGAAAGTGATCAATCAAAAGCCGTAGACCTGCGTTTCATACCAGTTAGGACCAGTAAATAGTATTTCAAAGTGTTCATTCAGGGGTGGTAACACTTTACTTTCCTAGCTGGAACTTACAACAAGACTAAATGTTATGTCTTAAGACCACTGATCAATATCAAATGCCAAGTCACCAATCAGAATCCTAATTTTAGTTTGGTCTGTTTCAGGTTTACTGTTTCCTCAACAGCCCTGTGTCCCCAAGTTGGCCGATTACATGCACGACTATCACTACTTACCTCGAGACAGAATCTCAGTTCTTATTGGTCTGTTAACCACAAGCTCTTCTCCATGTCCAGACTCGGGTCCAGAAGTAGCGATCAGTTTCTACGATATTTATAATTCAAACAAACGTGGTTTATATACAGGCAGACCAGACTGCATCATAACATCAAATGAAAAATAATAATTTTACGTGATCAAGCCAAAAGGTTTCTGTAAGTAGGGAACACTGTGAGTAATTGACTGGCAACAAATTCGGAGTAGTCAGTTTTATAACCGTAATTAATGGATTAGCCGAAACCTATGATATATAGAATATCTATACATAGTAATCTAGTTACTCGGTAATTATACAAAAATATTATTATTAGTAACATTTCGAAGATCCAGTTCCAACTATTACAATATTCATTCCATTATAACACTAAGTTATACGAATGGAATGATCACTAAGTATGAACCCCGAATATCGTATTTATCTAGTTCTTAATGCCGATCGAATTCGAGTGACACAGAAAACACTTGTTGTTAGAAGGTTGTACACGCATCTTGTCGATGAACTACTGATTAGCTCAAAACCTAAGTCAGGATTCACCAGTTAAAATTTCAGTAATATAGACTTTCTATCTTAGAGACATGTATATGAAACAACGAGATATTCGCCATGTCGGTTCAGCGTTATCAGTAAGTCTTTAAAGCCACCGAAGACCATGTTTAAAAATGAAAGTTGTTTTCTAATCATTTTTTAGTTCGGTTGTTATTCTAAACATGAATCTATTAACAAACTCTATCGTGTGAAACCTTTATTGTAGCCTTATTTTGTATACCCTTGAATATTTTTTGAATCCATAACCGTTATTAAGTAATGTAGAATATTTTTGATCTGTCTGTATCGTAATTAGTCTTATATTGTACATACTTTACAGTTTAATTGAACACTTAAACAATGTACAATATGTTTGTTTGTCCTTTTGGCTGGTTACGTATTTACTTTCTGTCCTTTTTAAATCGTCTGCATTTATGTTTGTCTGATTATTCTCTCTCCCTAGTTCCATTTATTCCCAGGAATATTTAAACTTCCATATTTGACTCTTGGTTTTAAACTGATTAATCCAAAGTGATAGAAGCATTTTGTGTAATAAAACTCAGTGAAGTAATACAAAACGGCAGCTCTTGTTGTCAGATCAAAACCTAAAGACTTACCATGAAACCCTAGGATAAACTATTATAAATAATGGTTATTTGATAGATAACAATTGTATTAAATGTCAGAAAAAGTAAACTTTGTTGAATCTTGAATATTTACTAAAGTTTCAAACACATGTAACTATTCGGAATGAGAAAAACAAAATTTACGTTGAACGTGATCACTACAGTTTAAAATTTGTCAAAATATATATCTATGTCCGTGTGAGATACAGTTTGTGTATGAATAGCGACAAATCAGGATTTGAAGATTTATCAATCACAGTGATTTACTGTGAGAGTAAAAAATATTTCCTGTTTTCCACGGTTATATGGTTTTACGACCGGTGACGAAAATTATGCTACCACTAGGTTGAATACTCTATTAATGAACCGTACACAAACTGGATCATGTTTTACTAGATACTTGATTCATGACCAAATGATAGGCTGGTCGATACCTTACTCTACACAATCACGATCAGTCTACACTCAATCAGCTTAAAGTAGAAATCAGTGAATAAGAAAAAGAGAATTCAGCGAAGAAAATTTTCTTTTCGACGAAATCATTTACTTAAGCTGTACATTCGTATATATAGTTATGTGGAAAATGTATGTCTATTAGAGGATAGAAAGGATTGTATCACAAAAATGGATTCGAGAATAAATAACAAATGGGGTTAACGTACTAATCAAGGGGTAAGGAAGAACAAAATTTATGGGTCAGATAATAGTCCAATTGACAGATATGAAGAAAAGCGACAAACTACAAAGGTCATAATAATAAACTGAATAATAATCAAGAAAACTTGTATAAGGTAATAATAATAATAATAATAATAATAGTAATAATAATAATAATAACTGATTAGAGTTTAAAATGTAATATAGTAATTTAAAAATATCGATAATAATTGGATAAAAGTACGGAAAAATAACAACAACAAAAAACACACACACACGCAACCACAGAAACATACTCATTAAGAGAATTAGGGCCAAGGAAGAATGAGAGGTTGAACAAACCGTTAGGACAGGAAAGCCACTATTAAATAGTTGGTGTCTGCCAGTTCACGTCCAATAGCCAATTAAATCTTTCTTTCACTGCCACACATTAGAAACATTTCTATGCAATACGCCCAGTATAGCACATATGCTAATAACAGACTGGTCAGTTGCAATCCTAAACATCAATGGGGAGATTCAAACAAACAATACCAAGTGAATTTCTATGCATTGTTTATTTTGCTAAAATAGATACACTTCAATTCATAATATACTGATTGAAAACTGAAATAATACTACTGTTAATTACATCTTCATTAATCCAAATGTTAAAGTGAATTATATTAATGTATAAATCCGTAAAACAATAAACTACTTCCTTTACTCATACTCAACAATGTGATAATGAGACTATTTGTAACAGATGATAACTACGAATGTACAAACTCAATTCTTATTTATAGATTCACTATTATACTGTATTTATGAAGATGTTAGTTTGTATCATGAACTCATTCCATCCAATATTGTGAATTGACTAAAGTGAGAACTGTGAATCGTTGGGTTTTAACCAATTAGTATAAAAATAACACATTTGCACAAGAACTGAGCAGTTTGGATCCAATCTCTGGTAAGTTCGGAAGAAAAAAATACTGACAAACTCGATTGAAACACCTATCTCTTATTTTAATAAATGAAGTCAGTTTGTTCTACATACTGTATTTGATGATGATGAAGATTTATTCAAATCACTACGAATATTCAACGTTAATTAGAAGCAGTTAAAGAAGTTTGTTCACATAAAAGAGTAGATCTATCTTTAAGCTTTTCAAAAATCAAATTTCATAATCATTTTTATTTTTGCTTGTTTATTTAAGGTATTGACTTGATTAAACGAATATTCACAGTTGGAAATCATCGTGTACAATTAGAAGTATGGTAAGTTCTATATTACGTATTTTTCATGTTATACAAACTATATATAATGAGAAGTTGTAATGTTTATGGAGTGAAAACAAATGCTTAGATAAGGTTAGATTAACGGTTATGCCTAGATAGAAAGTTTTTCTTTCCAAATGTGAATTACTTTCATGATAACACTCTATTTTCTATTTTAATCGTAGATATCTTAAGATAGAAGGTAGGTAGAGATCGTGATATAAGTATAGTGTAGGGATGAGCTTGAATGACTCTTAAAATGACCGCGTAGTTTTCAAGATATTTTTCTAAGCCAATCATTAAAGTTTATATAAATCAAAATTATTTAGCTAATAAAGTAATGAAACCTGTGAGAGTTTGGTAGTTTTAAGAAGTTAATTGGTTTTGCAATGTTTATTATCAGTTTAATATTATGAAAATATGGTTATAGAACCTTAAACATCTGAATATGGATTTATTCACACTAATGGTTTCTTTCCAAATCTTTCTCAAAGTCGTAAATAACCTTATAGAAAATTTATAATTGCCTACAAAAAATTTAATTATAGGGGAATCATTGTTGACGATATATCGACATAAACAAGTCATCATTTATTTTGGAATTCCTAATTCCTTAGCTCATTATATTATTCAATGAATCATTCATAAAATTACAAAGCTAACACTTCAAAAACTCCTTTGAAGAAATGATATGTGAATGACTTCAAGAAAAAATGGTTTTTGGGCATTTCTATCACTCTACAAAGTCTTCAAGACTAGCGATAATACATATGACTTTGCAGATCCCTCCAATATCCTCCCATGATGTGTTCAACTAGGAAGTGGAAACTGTCTTCATAACTTGGACAGAAATTGTAGATTGAAATACTTCAAATAATCCCTATTTATTTCATTGTTACTCAGGTGAAATCAACTTTTATAATCTTGATGTTTAAGCTACACCGCTAAAAATTTCTACGATGTATAGAAAATTGTTATTTATTAAAATCTTTTACAGGGATACGGCAGGTCAAGAACAATATCACTCTATTGTATCGTTACATTTTCGAGAGGCTAAAGTAAGTGAAAATAAAACCTTTTTTTTCGAGAATAAAAGTCTCTTATGGTTTTGAAAATACAACCATTATATATCGTACGCTTTATTTATAAACGGAAAGTAGAATTATAGTTTCATAATTTAAATCTCGGATCAATCTTAGCTAGACCATTGTTGACAACCTGGAAGGAATGGACAGCTATTTCGTCCTACTATGGTGGTCCTCAGAAGTGTGCCTCCACGACCCCATCACGGAGAATCGAACCCAGGATATTTAATTTCAGACTAAAGAGCCAACCCCCAAAAGTGTAGATGTCTAACTTCAGTCACAATTTGAGATACTGTCCAACCGTCTTCCGTTTCCCTGCAGTGGATAACATTCTCGTACCCAACATAGTTGTTTGCAGTTGGAATAATAAGTGCTTTCTGTGGTCTTGATACTGGTCAATACAAACTTGTTTCAACATTTCAGACTATTTCTAATAAAGATTAAACCTAGATATATCGGTTCCAACTGGTTTCTTTCAATTTAATAACATTATGAGTGACCGCATCTATACGTCATGAATTAGATAACTGTGACGTGTTTGACTGAACGATTCGACATTGATGCAAAATAAACTGATTACTTATTGGATAATAACTAGTATCATGTTTTAGCATACCTTATATTTGGTCGCATCCTATCAATTAAGTAGCAGTGTAGCCTTTGAGTTACTGAATATTATATACACTGTTTTGATGTTAACTGATTACAAAACAAGAAGCACTCAGCTTTGGACATGGGGTTCCTTCCTATTTTAACGTTTGTCAGTACATTATATCTGCAATCTTGTGAGTATTAATTGTTTCTGTATGATTCCTGAATTCGTATCACTTATAGTTATAGTCAAAGATAAAAGTTACCATCAGTAAATTGACATAAAAATTAGTTTTACGGTTAGTATGATCCTCATTTGAGTACAAAATCCTATTTTATTAACCAAACACTGTAACACTGTTATTTGAACGCTTTATAGCTAGAGAGTATTTTAATTTGAAACATAAGAATTATGTTATAAACTTATATTTGAATATAGTGTAAAACAGATAATGATTTAATTCTATATTTAATTAAAATAAAGACTAAGACAACTATTTATATAAGTTCAACTGTATTTCAAGTTGTTTCTTATCAATATGACTTAAACACGCGAAATAAAAACATTTCTAATATCCAAACGTATAATAGGGTTGATATCATCTTGGCGGTTTAGTGTATAGAATAGCTGTAAAACATATAATCTAGAATATATGAATGATTTGATATTGTTTCCCTTATGTATTTTACAGTATAGTAACTGTTTAACAAAAGTTCTCAAATGAAATCAGTATAAATGCAAACAAGACTACTGACTATCAACATTTTAGCGGTTAAGTTACTGAACTTTTAACGATTAAGTCACAAATTATAACCTCAAACCACTAAAAATTAGTTGATGAAGTTTGAATATGAGACACAGTGAGAGTCACTTTATTAGTAATCAAAAGTCTCCTAATGATAAGTTCATTTTATTTGCCAAGAAATGGTCTCGTTTTTCGAGGACTATACATATATAAGTGTACACATGTCTCTCCATTCAACTGAACCAACAAAACTTCCTCCTCACTCTTAATCTTCTCACTAAGTAACCGATTAGGAGCATACTTATAGAAAGTTTATGTATCGATCTCCGTTTTGAATGCCTCATATTATAACAGTAAACTTCACAAAAATCAATAAACCTTAACAAATCTACTATTCCTGTTTCTTGTTTAACTCAATTTTTGATGATTCTTGTCATCTTAGGTGAAGTTTATAGTTTATCAAGATATGAAGTAGAATCTGACGATGCACAAAAATGCTTCCATTGACTTAATTTTTTAATAAATAAGTTTATTTTCCAATGTAAAAAAGTGATAATTTTCGAAAAAGAAATGTCATTTATATCATATGACTTGTTAATAAATGATTGAATTCAAGTCCCAATTGGATACTAACTTTACTAATCTTATGCTTATGTTGTGAGAAAACCAATTCCTATCTAGGTGATTAAGAAAAAAAAGACTGATAATGATAATCAGTAGTTAGGTGAAATGCTTATTTAAGTTATGCTTGATATTGAAACCCTGGATCGGACGATGTATATTAAGAACACAAACATAATTGATATGAATGTAATTGACCTCTAAAATAAATCAAACTGATATTTGAATACATAATTTGTTTTGTATTGTATGATTTACTCACAGTTAAATATGTATAAAATGAATTGTGTAGTATTGATTGTCAAATCGTCAGTGACATACAATACGAACATATTTACAATATCATAGAATTCAGCATCTGTAACTAACAGATATAACTAATTAACTGAGTTAGATAATTACTTATTCTCATGATGCAGTTGCATGTCACAACTGATTGGATAAAGATTCATTTCACTTGTCATTATCAGTGGAAACGACTAAGTCATTGCTCGTCATATTTTAGTGGCCCTATATCTCACTAAAGTTAGATCGGACGAATGATCGTTATCGGGTGATTTCTGTCGAAATATACATCCTGTCTACCCTCGTATATAATAATCGACTCAAATTGTATTAATAAATAACGGAATTAAATAAGTCTTATACACTAATGGATTTCTGAATACGTATATTTCGTACAATCATTGATCAGAACAAACAATCAGAGAGGTGGAGAGAAGGAAGCGAAATGGGCTGAGGAAGGCATATTAGCCAACTCAATTCATCCAAGTGTGAATCGATATTGATGGTCGAACAAAAATAAGTTACAGACACATAATGAGTAGGGTAAGTAATTAACACCCATACGATCACATAACAAAACAGTAAGGATTAATAAGCAAATAAGTGATAGGGTAAAAGTGCGGCTTGAGAAGAATGAATAGATTGATCTATTTAGAGGCTAGAATGACCTATATGGGCTTGACATAGTACTCACCCCTATAATATCACCTTCATCAAATGACATGGGATTCTTTTTGGTTAACACTTGCAAAACAATGATAACATTGGATTTTGTTTAGTACATGTTCCTGTTCTCATGAAAATAGTTTTGTCCGTTTAGTCTACAGACTATATCTCTATTATTGACGTTGTATTTAAGACAATTCTCAATCGTCATCTAATCGATAATTCGGCAGACATTTTTAAGTTCACTTTATCGCGTATCTTCAATCAAAAACTTTGTTTTATGAACTGATTTTTAATAGCACGAGTATCCATTTACTGTAGACGACGTTGAATATTATGGAACTAAAATTGAAAGTAATGAATTTGAATTCGAAGGACGTTCTGAGACTTTTGAATGAGGCATCATAGCTAAATCTGGATTGAAACTGACTTTAAGACTGTCTACTATTAACTCCCATTGCTACCTAAACTCAGTGGATCAGTTTCATGTGTCATTTGCACTGCAATCGATTAAGTCATTCCTCGTTATATGAATAACACTAGTTCTTTAAAATTTGTTAGAAATTAAACTGCTCCAGTTAGTATGACTGATCCTACTAGAAAACTGAGCAGTAGAGGAGTAATTAATTAACCACAATTAGAGAATGACAAACAAATAATAGTAGTTAGTGAATGAAATAAATTTTGCTGTAAGTTATATGAATTTGCCATACACCAAGTATTTAATAGCTGAGCAATTAAAATGGATATAATGATTAACAGTGGAATACTTCTGTAGGTTACAATCGATTGATCACTGAGTGGTGACTAATATCGTGCTTGTCTGGTCCTTTTAAGTAGTGATCGAATTCTACCAATCAAGTTCCAAAGTGCTCGCTACTCTGAGGGAATTAGGCTATTGTGATATACGTTAAGATGTTCGATACTCAGAGGTAGTCCAAATCGAAACTTAGGTTTCGTGCTAAATATAGGATTCGTCAGCATGATGTACCTATAGTAGTGAAGAAACTGGCAGCCCAGCGATGTCCAAGATGTAAGCCTACGTGACACAATAACACCCATCCCCCCAAGATTACGGGCAAAACTTTGTTGACTAGTATGAAAATAGCACGAAGCCTAGGCCCATGGTTGTCTGTCAGTTATCTCTAACTTCCTAACAGTTCTAAAAATTCCATTCCCCCCAATAATTTGCTCCGATAAAAAAAACTGAACGTGATTTTTAGTCTGTGTAATTTCGAGATCAGAGAAAGCCTTCAACTATTGATTTCGTATATTAACTAAACCTTAAACAGTCTCCAATTTTCATGTTAGCTTTGACCAACGATCACTGACTTCTCTTACAAATCGTTTATTCATTTAGTTCGAAAAAATCAAGAACAATGATGGATACTAGTAAATTATTCTTGATACTGGTTAGGAATATATCTTTAGCCCACTTTCGAATATCACTCTTTATTGAACGACTATATATGCCCAATATCTTGACATAAATTTTCAAGTCAATATTGGTATTTCAGTGTTTTATTTTTCAGTGGTTTCTACTCAGTTGTTTTGCTACACTCAGATGATACTAAGATGTCTTTTGTCATGTCTTATGCCTCTTCAAATGTTAGAACAATCAGGTATAGAATACTTTAAAGTGAATTTTAGACAGTGGATTTCTGTTTAACAATTTATCACGAATAGGATGTAATTTATGTATACTGCAGAAAAGCCTCAAACCTAAAACGTAGCAGGTGTCTATTACTCATTTCTTTCCGTCAATAGTTCTTTAGTTGATATGAATAACAGTGATGTAATATTGTTTGAAGAATTTATTTGTAAAACTAAAATATACAGGTAAGCTTATGACATACGTGGAAATGGTTTCGAAATCAAGGGGTGTGCATCAAAACAGAATGTTGTCTATTGAATGTCGATGATTAGTTACGGCTATTACTAACAATCCTATGCTCTATATCCCAAAACTATCCTTAAATTCTAAACTCTGCATTCTAGCCCTATATCCTTATCCTTAAAATAATAACCATAACTTTTAATTCTAAAGCCTAAATCCTAGTATTAACATTATAAATCGTTCATATTTGATGTTTTCTGATTGACGAAATAGGGTCAAAAATTTGTCAAGGTCATTTGGGATGACTACGGCTTACTCATATGGATCATCTTTACCAATTCATTCACCGAGTGAGATGATGATCAGTTGAAAATCAACCAATTAAAGTACTTTTATTACTGATTACGGATAGTGTGTAAATATTACAAGCTATTGGGAATAGTATTAGGGAAGTTACGCCGTGTACTTCTTTCAAGTGTGAATGTCACTAAAGCTGTCAGTTCATTTTGCACATTTCGATAATCTTATAATGCGAAGATGGAGTTAATCTGTAAATATGATGTTCTGACATTGTACACATTGAATAATCTGGTCAAAGTTATATTCTTAAGTTAATGTAGGCCTTGGGCACAAATAAACTCAAACCTTTTTTGTGTTTTTGACAAAACAATTGATTCCAACCTTGAATCTATTTGATTTAAAAGCCTAAGATGGTCTGCAATAGGTTCTTATGCATTCAAAATTATATAAATTGTTCCTTTTGTTTATTTTCAATTATCACTTTATGTTTATTTGACCTTTAATTAAATCGGTGACCTTGACTAGTTTTTTGTAAATAAAAATGCCTTCACAATAATATATGTGTGGTCAAACTAATCGGAATGTATAATGCGCATACGTTACATTTTAAAAATCAATATCAGCTGCTCATCACGTTATGAAAAAAAGCCATTTTTGAGATAAATGAAGAAGGAGAAAACCGTTAACATTTTCCGCGTGGTTAAATCTTTTCCACTGAGTGATGAAGATTAAGTATAGTGTACAAAAAAATAAAGGTGAAAATAATCACTTAACTTTGAATGGTAGTTTATACAGCCTTAGTGAGAAGTCATTATTAGTGAAGATTAACGATGTTACTCGCGAAACTACTGTAACGAACAACAATGGATAATCGTCAAGAGAAATCGTAAATTGATTGAAATTTTACATGTAAACCATTGGATATTGGCCCAATCGTCTAAAGGTTAGGGGCTAGCTGCGATGTCTAAAAGCCGTTGGCTCGGTCCCCAGTGCCATTGTGGAGGAGCATCACTAATGAGTTCCATCCACACTGGGAAGGAATAGATGTACATTGCTTCCCGATTCTTAGTGTTTGACTAATTGAAGTGTAAACTGTGAAAATCGATAACACATCAATATCACAATAATTGTAAAATAGTTTTAGTAAGAAAGTTTTTATTTCTTTGCTTGATTTTCTCCCTATTAAAGGGAATTAGTGGTTCAAGTAGATGATTCTTAAATTAGTGTGTTTTTTTTTCAGCTAGGTAGTTTGTTTGTAAAGCTGTCATTTGTCTTTCTGAATTATATCATCGGCTAAATATGACAAAGGAAGCTAAAAACAATAGTGTCTGAGAATCTGATACTATTAGGCTTTGATTCGTCCTTAGTTTACGCCTGTGCAATGCCGAAAAGTTTCAACTACTTTTAAAAGCCATAGAGACAAATTAATGGATATCGCTTCAGTAGCCTTAAGATGAAGCCCTCTCCATTAACCTCGAAGGTGAATGCGTATCAATGAGTTCCGTACTAAGACTAAATAGCTATTTCATGTAAGTGTCCGTGATGTAAACTATGAAACAACGAAACGTATGTTCAACGTTTTTTTGCACATTCAACAACTAGCTTTCTTTGACATGAAATAAATGGAATAAAGCTAGTTATGAAATATGGAGTGTGCACTTTGTCCTCTTCGGGATTCGTCAGCTGGAGGTACATACTTCTCATAATTAGTTTCCACTCCTAAACTCAAATCAAACATTGTTCGCTTCCAACATCATTATGTTATCCACTTAACTTGTACCATAATGGCTACATCGAGACAGTCCATACTGGATGCACATATGCCAATTTATACTGATCAAATTTCGGTCACAGAGGGTCCACCTAGGGGAGTTGGAAAACCCTGATTCCAAATAAATAGTGCACATGGGTTCCAGTATCCTGAGGGAACAATTGGCGTATGAACGAATTGTTAGTCACCGGCTAACATGGGACTGTATCTCCTGATGTCACTCCACTGTCTTATGGATCAAATCTTTAGGTCGAATGCTCCGTTCATGACCCTTATAAGAAAACCGAACGCGTCGGTGTGGGCACCCAGGCAGTATCACAGCCCCTTTTTACCAATATTTATCTGCTCAAATAAAATTTTGGTGAAAAATAACAATGAAATAATCTAAACTACTTAGAATTGAATAAAAAAAACTCTCTTTGATATTTAAAATTATTTATTCCTTAAATGTTTTGAAAAAAATAACAATAATAGTTCATATTTTGTTATTGAAATTACTGTAATTTCTCCCTGTTTTTCCTTTTCTGCTAATAGTGTTTTATCATCGTTTATGATGTAACAGATATAGAATCATTTGAACAAATTCGTAAATATTGGCTTAGATCCGTTGATGAGGTAACTAATCAAAATGAAGTTTACACATTTATAATGTTTATATTTGAAAGTTATTCAGTTGATCAAAAGCTAGTTTTTGTAGTCAAAATTAATATCATTGAATATATACCATATTGTTAAACACTCTAAATATCTATTCTAATGTATTTTACTAATTTTTATGGTTAATGGTGTTCTATGATTCAGTTATATATCGTGATGTTGATAATGATCACAGTTAGATCATCTATCCAAGAGAGGATATAACCAACAGCTAAATCATCCAACTGAGTTGTAAATCTTCTTTATCACTTCACTAACAGATCATGTTTAACTGTTCTAAAAATGGATTTAAAAAAATGTAAAGTATGGTGAATATTATCAATTCGCAATGATAAAGAATAAATCTGTTGAAAAGTTTGGTTGACTGAACCAAAGATGATCAAAATGTCATCAACGTATTAAAAAATGTACTATCATTTTATATTCCATTAGTATTATTCAGTCAATGGTTTTAGAATATTCCAATAATACTTGGAGTACTTCTTATTATAGCATGCGGAGTTTGTGAAGACTCCTGAATGTTTTGGTTTTTACCACAAACTTATCCTAGTTAAACATTAACCATTGATAATCTGTAAGCACTGTACACCTGCTTTTTTCTTTATATTTGAACTCGTTTACTATATCTATCCATAAATCCTCTCAAAGGGGATAAAAACACAGAATCTTAAAGTTTCATAGCGAGTGTTTAGTTTGTAAATCACTGAATCGGAGTCGATTTGTTTCCATCCCTAACTTTCCTTCATTTTATAAATCGTGTTTCACCTTTACCTGGATGGAAATCCTTTTCTCTATTTTTGAAAATTTTTTTATATTCTTTATAGACATCATGTTATTGTTCTTAATATTTTGATGTAATTAAATTACAGTCCGAACAAAAGTATATACACCTTGTGTGAATACATGCTTATGTACGTACGTATGTATGTAGGAATGTATGTATGTATGTATGTTTGTGTGTAAATTCAATGTTACCTAATTATTCTTCCATGTATTTATCAACAATCACTTATATATATCATCTCTGCTAATTGTTTTTCACAGTGAATACCATTCAGACTTTTTCAGACTCATTTTCCTCTTTTTCTCTCTCTCTAAACAGTTAAATATTATCCCCGTTTGTTTCAAGAAATCATGATACACAGATAGATAGATAGATAGCAACATATGGATGAACAACTCAGTTGGTAGTTAGACAGTTATGAATAATTTGTGTAATTTGCATAATAATCAAATTTATGTTAAATTATGTACACATCATTTATTCGGATAAGAATTATCATCATCTTGAATATTGAATCATGAAAAAAAATTCAGAATAGAAAAACAATCAGTATAAAGAGATTGATGGAATAAAAGCATCGTCTGAATTCCTTTCTTTTATTATTATTATTGTTGTTGTTGTTGCTGTTGTTGTAATCCCATTTTTTTAATTTTGTTATTCATGGTTAATTTACTATATTCAAAACAATAATTCTGTTTAGGGAAATGAACTAATATATTGCTACCGGTTCAGTGTATTAAGATAAAATTGGATTTGAAATGTTAGTGTACACATATGTCATAATTTGATCGAACAATTTAGTATCAACTAATTAATCGATTGGTTAATTGTAAACAACACATAACTTGATGAATATATTCATCGATTCAAGTTGGTGCATCATAACAGTACAGTGAGATGAAATTATCAAGATAAATCTCAGAATAATAGAATGAGTAACAGTATCAGTGAAAATCGAAAACATTAGTTACAAACAAAATGATTAGGGGAAAATTAATGAATCTACAATATAAAAAGTATAGAAGAATTTTTAAACTCGGGATTTATGAGAAGATGATGGGTGGAATTATCTATACTATCCTGCTGATTCTAACCAATGTTGATCTGGTATGATAACAAACAATCTCATTCATAACGAACAGTTTATTGCTGAATTGTTTTTTCTTAAATATAGATCAAGTAATCTATAGTGTTTAAAATTAAACATATGAAAACAGACTTTGTGTGTACTTTCAGCTAAGGTACTTATTATATTTTGTAATAACCTCGTTTTGGAAAGATTTTATTACTTTCAAATCAATCTTGTCATTTCAATTTGATAGTAACTGTAAAAACTATTGCTAACAAAAAAACTACTCAATTAAACCAATCGACTTAGTGGTCTGAAGGTTAAGTGCTTATCATGAAGCTTGAAGCCCCTCGACTAAATCTCGGGCAGGAGATTTTAAAGAAGTGGACAGCCTTTATGAGATGGTAGAGTAGATTTATAGCTCAGGTAGATGATTTAAGTGGAGTTTTGTTATCTGAGCTGCACTATTTGGCTGTCGAGTTTTAGCTAACATATTGCCGCTGCTCATTCAAGCATAAGAGAATTATTGACGTTTTAAAAATTGAACGGAGTTTTAATGAATTGAAAAATGAACAGATCATTTCATGGATCTAGAAACGCCATAGAAAATAAAAGTAAAAAAGGTAGCATCACGTATTAAACTGGTTGTAGACGATTATGGAAACCGATAGACACTAGGTTATTTATGTGTTATAGTATACAATTTGGATTTGCACATTTGGACACATCAAAGTTTGTTGTAAAAATTTACAAATGCGGTTAGCATTTACAAATAAATTGCACAATCAAATTGCTTTTCTGATGTTCCTTGATGATTCAATAATATTTATCATTAGTCATTATATCACTCATTTGATACTCCCCTTTACTGATATACGTTCTAATGAATTGTGTCCGTTTACACTTACCCTTTCTGTTGTGCTCTTATTGGAGGGTACCACTTACTGGATTAAACTAGTAAAAATATTTATCTAATCCCAAGGATTCTTTAAACGATATTAGCTCATGAACTTTGTTGCTAGTAGTCTTGTTAATTTCATCTCGTTGTGTTAGTGCAATCTGATAACTTTGATCAACGAACATTTGTATAAAGCTCTACATTGATGACGATTAACCAGCTGAGTCTATGATGAATACTAACTTTGAAAATTAATCATTTTTGTCATTTGTTGTTGTTATTGACATGTAAGTTGTTCATCAATATTTACATTCACTGGTATCCTTTACTCACTATCTGTTTATAATTTTTAATAATATTCATTCAGCATATGGATGATGCAGTACCGGTGATTTTCGTAGCTAATAAAATTGATATGATAAAAGACAAAAGAGTGTCAACAGAACAAGGTCAACAAGTAAGTGTATTATAAATTGTGCTAAACTTCATGTTACCAGTATTCTTATTATCCACGAGTGTGAATTTTGTATCAAAGCTTCAACTATATGATCGAGTGATATGTAAATCAATCGAAGAAAAAAATGCAATATTATACACAAAAGTGATACTTTTCTTACGAAAGTATATCAATTATGTCAAAAACCCAAATGACGAGATTATAATTTATGGACGACCTTTGAACAAATCTTGAATGACCTTGAGAAATTCCAGCCGATCAGAAAACAGTCGGTATAGAATAAGAATATATAATACAAAACCAAAATGTTAAAGTAGATACACTTTAACATGGTTTAAATACTTTTCAAGGTTAGAAAGAGGCTGCTGTTCTGAAGTCGTGTTGTATAGAACACAGGGATTCATCCATGCGACTCCATAATAGTCGACCTATTGAGCTAAAACTATTTTATTCTCGACCACATTACTTCTATATTATTGGTGTGTGCTACCATGATGGGGTCTAAAAGATGTCGCTTGTGAACAATGATACGATGCATGTAACCAAGTCTAGATAGGCATCGATATGCTCTCCAAACATCCGTGTGAATTATGGCCCCCGGCTTCATATACTCTCGTAGAATCGGTATTATAGTTGTAGCTTATCGGTTTCTCACGCATTGAAAGTGTCATTTTTAAAATGATTTATCATATATATCAAGGGCCTGACAAGTATATTTAAGGAAGTGATACTTATCCAGTCTTCTTTTGCACTTCTTCCTCTGTTGAATTCGCGTTTTCTAACAATGGTTTCGTCGATTTCTACGGTTCTCCCGATTCCTCCAAACGACTGATGCAATCCTGTCATCTTCATTATACACATGTTTCGATAGTACTCATACCAATGAACTACCGAAGCTTCAGTAAAATCTACAAAGGTTTCAGTCAGTGATGTTTGCTTTTATTATCTATTTTGCAATAATTATCATAATCTGTATGAGTGTCAATCAGGATTGAGCGAGAAAGTACCCTTTCTGAAAGACCTTTTATCCGATTTATATTACATCGAAATACAGCATCGTCACGATAGTCTGCACAATGCCCAGTAGTCATTTGAGCACCACAATAACAAGTAAAGGAACTTCTCAGTAATCCCATCAGTTGCATCCACTCAACCATAACATCCTGATCGAAATCCGCCGTAAACTAATCATACATGCGTGTTGGGTAATAAAATAGGCTCATTGACCTTTAAATTGCTCACTCGCCTTTGATTGGCTTGTTCATGAATTAGAGTCTCGCCTTTAAATGCTAGACAATAGTATATAATGACTAATGGCCATGAACTCCGAAAATTGTCAGAAAGATAACTAACTACTAAATGCTAGTAAGTAGCATAAATAATTGAACAAGGTGAGGGTAAAAACGGTATAAACGAAATTAATGACTATGTCGGATATGTTAGGATAGAAAGATCCAGTAGATGAGGGAATATGCTTGGAGATATATTCATTTGACGAAGGGGAGAAAAGTAATTTATGCTCAAATGTTCACCACTTTTAGAAGGGGAATAGGAAACAAGAACAACTTTTATGAAAAAATGGATTTAGTGTTTAGAGGACAACAATTAACATTATGTATTGATTTGTTCACTAATACCGATCAATATTTATAATGCATTGCAGAAACATAATAATCGTTATACGTTCACTATGTCGCCGACTAACTAAACCTAACTATTTAAGGCTTTTAGCTAGACGTTTTCAATTTTGCTGACCTATTATTTACCTTTTTTGACAACAGTGTTTGATAATCAAATTATAACTAGGAAATGCATATTGTTATCCACTGCTAGAAGTCATTAACAACGCATCCTGTAAAACTAATGACTGATATAAACGTTGAGTTCTTCGTACATATATTTAGCAATAAAAATCATGGTTTCAATGAATGAAGTTGGATCAGAAAATCATAATAATTTTCTGATTATTATCATTGCTGTATACTTTAGGACAAGTCCCCCCAAACAAATCTGACCATAAATCTCGTAAAATCAGAGAAATCATTTAAGTTAAAGTTAAGTAATGTTAAGGAATTCGCTGCATAATGAGGTGTTCATTTTTGATACTGATACTCAAGCTTCCTATAAGCAAATCCAACACGGTACTTGAATGAAAAGGCTGAGAGTGAGAAGGCATCACTTCACTTCATGGTCTGAGATATTTGTAAATGACTTACATTGAAGACGATTGAGAACTTAAATGTGGCTTTACTTATGGTAATTTTTATCAAAAATATTCAGTTTAATTTACTACTGGACATTATTATATATGTTCGACTCCACTTCTCTTCTCTCTCTCTCTAACATCAGTTGACATCTCAACAAGCAGCTCATGGTTTCTTTGAGACAAGTGCAAAAACCGGTAAAAATATACAAAATTTATTTCAAGCAGTTGCTGAGTGCATGGTGTCTACATGGGGTGCTCCAAAAGTTAGTCTGATTTTCCGTTTTTGTTGAAATGCGAACCAAAAATAATATGATTTATGTTTTGTTAGGTTTTTATCCTCCTTCTTTTTTGTCCGTCTAAATAAATACGAGTTTTGACATCATAGAGGATACTTTTAGCCTAAAGGAGATGATTTCGGTTAAGTTGCATTCATTGTATTCGGTGATTAAATTGTTTAGCTTCATTGTCTTTTGGACATAATCATCAATACAAAGTTCAGATAGAAGTGATCTACTTAAACTTCACCACATATAGCTAACAGTTTATTCTGTCGAGCTTGAATGAGATTGGTTATTATTGTTGATACTTGTCGTGTCATTGTCCGCATATTTACTTTGATTGTCTTTCACTATAACCCGATAATTGACTTTATAGTTGTTTAGGATTGGTACGATACATGGAAATTAATCCTAACACTCATATCTTAATTGATTAGAGAGAGAGAGAGTGACCTACAAACCGGTTTCATCCAATCGCCTATGTAATGTTAATGTGCTCATTTTTTTGTAAATATTTTGTAAATTTTACCATCTTATTAAATAACAAAGATCTATTCCTCCGATTAGTGGTTTGTAAAATCAGTCAGAGGCTAAAATCAGTAATTCGGTCTCGAGAGCAGCCATCATTCAGTCATATCATATCATCGAATACTATCTATCGATCAGCATTATTTTCTTTTATTTCAACAATTATAAACTCATTCATAAAACCCTAAAAAGGTGAGTCACAAAAGTGGTCACGACTTGCGGTGTAGTGCACCAATTATTGATAAGGTCAGGTTTCAGAGATCATGCATGGTTTGGTTTCTGGTGGATTTCGTCGACAATTACGAGTAGATTGAGTTAGAGTGTTATCATGTTGAAGGTTAATTAATCAATCAATAAAACAAATTTATTGCACATTGATAACAATGTTGATAACTCCACTCCGAACGATTGTATTAGAGCTATACATTTTTAGTTTAATTTTAATGTTATATCACATCAGGAAAACAATATTTTCCCATTTTGCCATTTAGATTATATCGGTAAATATAAACTTTGACAAATTTACTTAGGTATAATGTGAATCTCATAATCAACACGAATGTGTATGATTGAAAGTAATAATATTTAGAATATGAAAGTTTAGAACCGGTTACAGGAAACATCGTGTTGATGGTGATGATGATCAGGTGAAAAAATTGTAGTAAAATAAGCAGAGATGGATGGTGGCTATCAGTAGAATTCACGACGTGAGTCTCGTCCAATTTGGGTCAGCTGGATGTATCCCTATATGAGATGATATTCGCTCTGGGTCTCGAACCCGTTACCACTCACTTCAAAGGCTCAGTAGCTAAGTGGATAACGCGATAACGTTTGAAGCGAACAGTATTGAGTTCAAGTACTTAAGTAAACATCAACTCTGCAATAAATCAGGTAAACTATATTTATGGTCTGTTTTTACTATGACCGTATGCATTCTACCCACATGTTTGTAAACTTAAGTACATAAGTGGGTTTATTGTGATTTAAGGTTGATATGATCTCGTATACCATTTTGGGAGTTATTTGGACATGCGTTTTTGGGGAGTCAATAAATCCTCATCGCATTAGTCTTTCGTGTTATCGTATTGCATCATTGGAATTGTAGTGGTTCTTGTTTCTTAGTACAAACAGTAGGATCAGTGAATTGTAGTGATTTCCGATTGTTAAGTCAAGGCAGTAAGACTGCAGACTCAATAGAGTCGATACGTACATAACAGATACTACCCTCCAGATATAAAAACTAACTACGCAGTTACAACGATGACGACAGAATCAATATTTTCAGTCATAAAACAAGAATTGTCAGGTATCATAGCGAAGGTGTAACACAAATCATTGAATTAGTATCCAAAGGTTTATATGATTAACACTTCAATTGAATCTTGATATCCTTATTACTCTTGGTGGATAATTAACTGGCTCAAAATCGATATAGTTGAACTCCATTAGCCATGACTTCTCACTAGACTACTGAGAACTACTTTTCGAAATTAGTTATTAGTGAGTACATGTTGATATTTATTATTATAGAAAGGTTTTCCTGAATTCCTAATTTTTTAGTGTAGTGGTATAGTTTACATATTTTTTTCACCATATTTTTTTTAAATTTTAGCGTTGGTATGAAATAAACACTGAGGATAATAATAATTTAGATCCATGGTCAAATTCGGTGAGTTTTGTTTTCGCTTATTTAGATTCGTACTATTATTAGGACTATCATTATTATCACCATTAATGTTATTATCACAGAATATTGAATTTTCAATAGGTGGTTGGTGAAGTCTAGAATGAACCTCTGGATCTAGATTTAGTGTAAGTCGACAATCGCTAGCAAAATGTACCTTAAATCTTTAGAGGACTGTTGGTTCTTGTGATATTCGAATTTGGATTAAAACATTTTACGTTTTAGGATGCTATCGTTCAACTATTCGAGTCACGAGAGACTTTCCATCGGTCTAATTGACTAATCAATCAATATGTGATTGAAAGTTTTCAGATAAATAATGAACATAAGGTTGATATATATATGTATATTCTCAAAAAAATCCCATTGAATAGTTTGACAAAATGACACAAAACTGATGTTATGATGGTTCAGTTTCATAAAAATTCAAGTACTCCAACTTGCTTCACTTTGAAATCATCTCAATTTATGATAATATACTTTACCATCTAAGTTTCTATTATTCAAAAGATTCAGGGAAGTTATCATACTTTAGTTATCTTGTAATATCACTTTTAATGATACCATATGCACAGGCATATTTACCAAAATAACTTTCTTATCAGTGATCTGAATGGTGAATAAACGATTAAAAATAGCAAAATACAGCGTATATTAGAATTTTTAATCAATATAACTGGTCGGTGATCTTCGTAGACCTTGCATCACCCCTGAAGTCTTCCTAACCCTCACTGAAACCATTCATTTACTTACAAATGGCTGTTTGTTTCGCAAAGTTATCTCTGTTCACAGTCTATTGGTTTCGTTATTTTTTTCTGAGAGACTTTTTCAGTTTTCATCAAGATTCGACGTCTATTTAGGTATGGATTACCATTACCAAGATAAATAAATACAATAAATTTTTTTTCACTTTTTGTGTTCTAAAAAATAGTTTTCCAAATTTTCTTTGAAAAACTTATAGTTCAATCATCGTCACAAGGATACAGTTCAATTAGATCAGAAAAGAGCTCCTAATAAAGTACAATGTTGTTTGACACATTAACGAATACGTATCTTTCGGACATTAATGTGGCCTTATTATTAACCCTTTTCAAACTATACTACTATACTACATATTAAGTAGTTAAATTTGTATCACATTTATTCTTCAGCATGGTTTGATATTAAACCTACTTACCAAGAACAATGTGTAAATAAAACATTTTCTATATTACAGATAGTTTATTATACTTATTTACATTCATTTAAACCTACCATTCGTTAAAACACTAACACAAACATATGCACATTATAAACACAAGCACCGATTGTTTTTCACTAACCACTCACAAGACAGCAATCTTTTCATAATAAAATTTGAACTACCCTAAAATAAAGCAAATTAGAGGTGTTTCCTCTCAATTTAAGCAAACAAAAATTACAATCAAATCTCTTTTTATTGTACAGTTCTTCATTCATTCTAATATGCATATACATATGGTGATATGTATGTGATGACACGTTATAGAAAACGTGGCTGCAATAAAATAAATATCAAGATAATTAATTAATCATTATAGAGCTCACTTTCATGCCTTCAGTCGTTATTATTACTTCTCTTGTTTTGTTTAACCAATCTGTCTAAAAACGTTATCATATACTGTTTAAAGTTATTTCTTTATTTTATTGATTTGCATGTTGGTTCGTTTGTTTATTTCTTTATTCGGTAACATATCTTTTTCACCTAATCCTAATATTATTATATATAGATAAATAAATAAATATTCTGAAAATAGTTAAAGAATTTATAAAAGTTTATACGGGCATGATTAGGTTGGTCCGAATGGAAATGTAATGAGTTTAAGGGAAAAAAATATGTAGGTACAATAGTTGAGAGATGTGATTATCATAAATTGTTTCTATAGTACATTTGTTGCGATGATTTAAATGATATGAAGCGACAGTTGCGGATTGGCATATTTTTAGTGAGAGAACTGCAACGCCATTGTTAAAGATTAATAACATAGCGGAGGATGCTTTCAGTCATCAGTATGGGGTTTTATATGTTGTGAAATTTCATTGAAATCATGGACAGATCAATGTTGGGACATCATCAGAAACCTCAAAGCACTGGGCGACCGTTTCGTCCTAGCATGGAACTTTACACTATCACACATCCACAACCACGCATGTTGATGTTGGACTCAAAACTTTCGGTCTTGCGCAAGAACGCATAATTTCTAGACCACTGGACCGACACGTAACGGTGTTATCGTCTAACTTCAATCAACCCACGACAGTGCGCGGTCATCTTACAATCATCCACAACTAGGGAGAAAAAAGCGAATGTACAGACATGTCATGGAAGGGTAAAATTTGGTTATTGAATCCTTTCTACGATTTTAACCTAAATTGTATAGTTATATAATTGTTCTCAAAAAGTGATTTATTTGAAAACACTACACTAAATAAATTTTTAGACATATTATACCTGTTCAAGTCGTCACAGTTGATAAAAACTAACCACCTTATCAACCGATTCACAGTTTCTACATAGTACTCTAAGTCTAACGTCAACATTGCTCACTCAGTGATCCCGAAATTAAAGATCACTGTTTCTGAGACACATGAACTGAGTATCAGTAACTTGCGAGTATTGGTACACTACATCCATAAAGTAGAACAGAGTGAAGTACTGTCCAATAAACTCGATTTTTGTTGATAGATGGATATCTCGCCTACATCATGAGTGACTTATGTTAATAAAAACCAACTAAGTTTCATGGATTTGTTCCAAGGTTTTGTCATACGACAACTCATCACTGTTGACAAAACTTACAAAATAAGTGAAGTAATAAATGCGCTCAACTGTTTCATTTTATATATTTAGTTTAACCATTGGACAGACTAACCACAAACAACACGTTTGCATCAAGGAGAGAAATGAATCTCAAAAATGCTAGTATTGTCGTTTAAGACGATTAGAAGACTCCTTTTTGTCAGCGTTTTCACCAAACATAACTATGTCATCTGACTATTCAAAGTCGAGAAGTTAGTCTCCTAGTAGCAGATCACTATCTAGAACTTCAGATGGTGAGAGGTTCATCTCTAAAAGGATATTTATGAATCCAAATAATGGGCGAAAAAGTAAACAATCCAGACGAACATCAATTTGGATTGATAATTCTTACGACAGTTTGCTATGAACATTATAATGACCAGCAGTGTCAGAGTAGCGTCATTTTAAGGTTGATATATATCTATTTTACGCCTTTTAATGGTAGACAGTGCTACAAAACCTTTCGATCAACAGAGTCAGGTGCTGTCTTAAAGTCAAGAAACACAACGAAAGCTGGAGGTCGGAGAGTATATCCATGTTTGAGGGATTGACGAAAAGTGATTACTAAAGATAATATTTTAGACACTATTAATCAACTCGATTCGTTTGTCGTTGTCATAAGAGAATTTATGTTCCTCTCTGTAAAGTGGGAGGATGAGTGATCTAAACCAATTAAGTGAGATTACTCTCAGTTATCAGATTCTAATTAATATCTCCTTCAAATAAACTGCTAAAACTCAAACACTGACACTATAGATCTCAGGATCTGGTACTACTTCTCAGCCTAGATTATTAATAATCTTTTCAACCTCAATAAAAAATGAGGGACTTGCACCAACTTCCCATTCATGCTATCTGGAGATAATTTCTGGTTAACTTCCAAATACCCAATAAGTAACAGTCAGTAGTTGTATCAAATTTAATAATAATATACAATAAATCAAAATATTGGGCTTCGCTAGACTAATATACTCACAGAAGACAGTTGAAGATAGTTTCAAACACTTTTACTGAAGTCATAAGTGAAATTACCATTCAATATATATTGGATCCTACTGCTGATCAAACCTAACAATAAACTAAAGCACTATATACAACACACTTATTTAAATATTGTAAACGTTACGGCTAACATTATCCTTAAATCATAATAATTATTTCCCATTTTAATGCTATGCCTAATTCATTGGAACATTAAAAAGAGAAGCAAATAAATAAATAGATAAACAAACGTACGTTTATATCCAAAAATATCTTTATTTTATTTTCAATAAAATAATATTACAATATAAAGAAATAAATGATTTCTTCTATGGTGTTATATGAAGTTTGTTTGTTTATTTATTTTCCTTTTTTCTAAAAAAAACAAACAAACAATGTTTCATTTCATTTTCTAGAAACATATTTTATCCATCTCTCCACCCACTTTTATGAATGTTTAATGACCAATGTTTATGTGTGTGTGTATATGCATGTATGTATGTATGTATGTATGACATATGTATTAAAAAAATAATAATTGAATCGTCAATAAAATAAAACAGTGACAAATATTTTGTTGCTATGAGAAAATACATTCTTTGTGTTTTTTTCTTCTTTCATAATTTAAATATGTATTTACGTAATAATCAGAGAGGAAATGATATACAGGGAAAATAATAATTGGAAAACAAAAAGAGGGAGAAAATTGTGAATGATTCAAAAAAGATTATACAGAATAGAATAAATGATAGATATTATTGTTAATGGTGTTAAATGATATCAACACAACACCGGGTGAAATGAAACAAACGACAACAGTAATTACAATTCAAATATAACATCTCATGATAATTACCACAGACACACACACACACCACAAGATAATAGTGATAATAATAATAATAGACAATTTAACTAATGGTTTACATTCAATCTGATATTCTAGATGAAATCTATTTCTTTTCCATTTTGTTTATTATGAAAGATCATTTCAAAAGGAAAAACAAAAAAATTCATTGTTTCAAATAAGTAAAAATAATTTTTGTTTTTATTTTTCAAAAATGAATAAACATTCCATTGTTATCAGTTGTTTGACTTGTTTTATTTTGTTTTTTTTGTTTTAAAAAATAAACCTGAAAATTTATAAATGCGATGAATGTTCAATGAATAATAAACAAACACATAAAAGTTTCTATTGATGATTGAATAGAATTAAAATGAAATTGAAGATTAAATAAACAATATACATATATATTTATTTAATATTCATCTATCATACAAACAGGTATTTGATTTGATGAATTAGAATTTAATATTACTGAACTAGACATTAATGGATCAAATGTTGATGGTAAATATTTTGGATAATTTTGACGACAATCTGTTGGTACATTAGGATAACAACCATTTGAAATGATATTACATGTATCTAATAATTGACGTACAAATAATTGTTTATATTTTCCATTAATATCATTATTATTTGATGCATAAATTAATATTAAATAAAATCTTGGATAATCATTACGATGATATGCTGGTATAGTTAATTCAAGTGAATGCATTCCATAAGTTGTTTGACAATAAATTGGTTTTATTGTTTGTTTAATTTGTTTTGATAATGTATGCTTTGGAAATTCACAATAGTCTGTCTAAAAGGAAATATATATAAATTAAATTTATAAATAAATAAATGATTCGTTTTGTGTATTAATAAATTTGTAAGTTGTATTCATTATAGATTGATCTCAGTTGTGATACACTTGAAAAGTAAGGAGTACTGAACAGCTGTCTCATTATAGTAGGTGACTCCTTAACAGTATACATTAAGTGGTTAGAATGGTAAATCTTTCGTCTTGAGACCTAAAGTTTCTTTAGTCTGTTCCCGTGTTAGGGATTTTGTAGGTGTACCTTGATTAGATTTCGTGATGATTTAGTTTTCAATCTGATCATATTTTGGGTAGTAATTAACCATGGAATTCAAAAAGGACGTTTCTCGACTAATTTATGAGTTTCAATGTAAATATCTATAGCGATATATGTACATCAAGCTAGTAAATCACACATTAGGAGAAAGTTCATTCCACTGTTATCTACTAATTAAATTTCTAATCAACTGTTGAAAATCAGTAATGATAAAAACGCGCGTACAGTATGAAGACGTCGTTCAGGCGCGAACACAAGTATACCTTGCAGAAGTATATCAAAATTTATGAAGCTTTAATCAAAGCCGTGTTATTTTATCAATTTTGTACACCTATGTAACGACAAAACATTTAATCATTATATTAATTAACCTGACTTATTGTTAACATTTTATATTGTAAACGAAAGAGAAACGAAGTTTGTGATTTTTTAACAGTGCATTGTATTTTGTTGCAGCTACATACAATTGAATAATTTTTAGTGACACAAAATATCGACAAAACATCCATTTTTTAGTCAGGAGTTGTGCTGAAAAACCTTATAACCATGCACAACTTAGTAGTTGCACAATGTATTAGATTGACTGAAATTTGAAATATGAACCAATTAATACGAACGAACAGTTGAATTGTCGGCGAGACTATAATTCATGGATGAACCAATTAGGTATAAGATAACAGGTCTCGGATTTTGGCGCGAAATCCATTCATCCATTTAGTTAAATAGAGTTTCGGTCTTATACCTCATGTCAGTTCGTGATGAAAACCCTAAATCTAATTCCTAACCTCAACCATCAAGCGTAAATCATAATTCTAATTATTCACACTGGTTTAAAAACCTCATTTTGTTCTATTTATTAGCTGGACACTCTCAATGTCAATCTAGAGCCACTCAAAGGTTGTCCACCGAATTGCCTCTACTAAACTCTTAAACCAATCACTATATTAAGTTATAGAAACTAAAAATCAGCCAATGAAATAGTTCAAATATATTTTAATGCTAATTTTTATTAACCAATAAAATTTATTTGAAAATCAACCAATAGAAAATCAAGTTTATTATTATTATTTCTTACCATATTATTATTTAAATAATCCCACATTAAATTTATATTATTTATTGGATCATTTAACACTGGTAATGTATAAATCCAATAATTTTGTGGATTAACATGAATTTTTAAACTTATATACACTTGATGTGATGTACATTCAACACCAATTTGAAAACCATTTTTAATTGGAATATTTCTTAATTGACGTTTTAATATATTTGGAATGTTTAAAAAATTATTACTAATATTATTATCTAATGAAATTGTAGTAATTGTTTTCATTAAATAATTATTAATTTGTTTCGATTTTAATTTAATATTTAAATATAATTGGTGATAATTATTACGTTTTATACGATGATTAGTGAAACGATAATGTCTTAAATGTTGTTGTAAAAATGGTGATGGAATTTGAAAAATAGTTTGATTACTTGATGGTTGAATAGTCATAGTTGATATATCTGTTGGAAAATCTGTAAATAAAATTTTGAATGAATTAAAAAAATATATTTGATATTATGAACATGGTATAATGATAATTTTTTTAAATAAAAAATGATAGAATTATAACTTATGGATTTGTGCCTCTAACAATTTATGAATTAATGATACGGCCAATTAGAGAACAGTGAATTATCAACCGTAGCAGGGATGCGTAAACTCGTAGGAGCAGTTTACAGTCATTATTGGTCCTGCTTCCCGCTTAGCCCTGCCTGTTAAGTTCAGAACACAAATCTCAGCATCTGAGATATGATTCATATATTTCAAACATACTGGGTTTATATTCCAACTAAACAGACCACATCATAACATAAAATTGGAAACAACATATGTACGACATCTAGCCAAATGTGGCTGTGAATATGGGAGATATTATTTACTAAAGTGGGTATAACTTAAGAATGGTAAGTCGTTTAATAATAGTTCATAGATCAAAATAAAGCATAGAATAAGGCGAACACGAATATGAATAGTTTAGTTAGTTAACAATTATATGATAAAAATTTACGTATAATATTAGACCATAAATGGATCCCAACAGTTACCATTCATTATCCTCATCGGGATATAACATATCGTCATAATGAACTGTCATCAGATCAAGTATTTTTTGAAAACTAAACGAGTGCATAATACCGATTTTCTGATAGTTCAAAAGTTTTTCAACAGAACACATGGTTAAAATACACTTGGATAACTGTGATCGATGATTATACGTGTTAGATAATATGACTTGGATATCAGTTACAATGGTGTAGATGCATTCACTTCATTATGCAAACCTTCTTTTCAATCTGTATTATTCAAATCATATTGTTAGTTTATTGACTTATAGTGGTGAAACTGCATAGCAACTTTAACTAAAGTATATTTGTATTTGGTTTTCCATTATTCATAGATGATAAGTCAACGGTGTGTATACGAGAATTTACCAAAAAACGTTGACCCATGACCATTGATGTCAATTCCGACAAAATCTTAATAGATTGCTGACATGAAGAGACAGCCTTTGATGATAATAAAATAATAATGTATTTGTAATATCCTAACCGGTAGAAAATTAAGTTTCGGATGTCTTATTACTTAGCATAAGCTGTCTTTTTAGTAAATAGTACTTCTCTGTACTTCTGTACTTTTTAACATTATCAATAAAAACTTCAAAAGAGATCAGCTGTAATGTTTAAATTAATGTAAAATCAATTAAAGTTTATTTGAGTAAACAAATGAATCACTTAAATGATAGAATTCAACACTAATTAAATCATTCTGCTGGTTAACAGATCTTTGTCATAAACTTTTCAATGTCAAACTCTGTATTTTATTCAGTTCAAACTTGGAATCTAATAATACCTATAAATACTCATGGGCCGCTACTGACTTCCTGTAGGACTGAGACGTATTCACAATTGACTGATTATTGGGTAGTGATCAATGTCATGTGTGTTTGGTCCCTTTAAGCCCAGTGGTCACATCTCTGACTGTGAAGATATGTGACACGGGATTAAATTTATCAGGGACTACCAGTTCTCTCAAGATTACAGTCACAACTTGCTGACGAGTGCAAAAATGCACGAAACCCGGGTCCAGGGTTTCCTGTTGACTACCTCCAACCACTATCTTAATTTATGGTTTTTCTTTATTACATTTAATAGAAAATATTTTGAGCAAAATATCCATAATTAAAAAGAAGGAAATGAGTAGAAACTTATTAACAGTGAATATATTTAACATTCAATTCGTTTTTTTCTATGCTACAATTTAACATTGTTAAATTTCGAATAGTAAGCATATATCCCTAAATTGACGACTTTCTGTTACACTATTGTTTTTAGTAATTGTGTGTATATTTTATAGTTAATCCCATAAACTGGCCTTATTTAGACGACCATTAAAACACAAGAAGCTACTAGTTTGGAATTTCGTTCTAGGATGGAACTCTTCAGCAGTGCATATTCAAGATCTCAACAAGTTTTCGATGTTTATCAATCTATGATCAGTTCATAATATTAAACATAGAACTCATCAGTTTTCACAAATTCCTCATGTTCACTCTAAATGCACAAAATAATAAAGAATTGTTAATGTCATTACTGAATGGATTTTTCTGGAGATTGTGAGATTTTACAATTCACCGTTCAGGAGTCTCAATACTAGGTGGAAATAACTTCCCAGTGCATCATGATTCTCAAAGATTGCTTGACAATGATCAGTCGCTGTTTTTAACTGCAAAACGAATCCTTTTTTCTTTAAATTCATGCAAAAGCTTAAATTACGGAGTAATTTTTGCTAAACAAAATAATAATTATAAATATACATTTTCAGTATACTGAAAAGGAAAAAACTGATTCACCAGAATAACTTTTTAATCATACATGTGTATTTTGGTTTCTGAGGTAGTAAGCTGGTTGTGTTAGGTTCCAAGAAAAAATATCTACCCACTGGTTGTTTATTTTCAAAATTCGGATTGCCATTTAATTGCAAGTAATAAACTCCGTTGCCAGAATCTAAACACATACGCAATACACGATGACTGTTAATTGGATATTCACATAGTGTTTGTAAATTTGATGATGTAATAGTAGAATTCCTGCAAAGATGATAGCAAAAAAAAAACAACAGTACAATGAATGATATATATGTGTCTGGTTGATGGGATTGTTCACCTATTTGGCTATCTCAATGTCTTTCTTCTTCTTCCACTACTACTGTGGTGTATTCTACTTATGTTAACAGATATCAGTAGTGTGTAGCGCCAATCTGAAGTACAAAACCTACGAGCAGAAGGTTGACAAGGTTGAATTAAAGAGAAGAGAGAAAAAAAATCAAAGTAGTCACGATAACAACGAGAATGAAAGAACACAGAAGCTTAAAACAGACAATTCAAAGAAGATATGCAAATGATGTATTTAGTGTATGATTTTCATATTTTATGAAAGCAAACTAATTTCTCATCAAAACAAATCGGTCCTCCCAACCAAGGCCACGATCATTACACTATCACGACTACTACTACGACTACTACTACTACTACATTAGCAGTGTAGGCTAACAATTAGTCGATTCGTCCTTGGGAATAGATTCTATTGTAGTTGTTTAGAGGCAATTGATCCAACAAAGTCCTAATTTAAATTAATAAGATCGACAAATAATTTTCAATTTCTCTTCTAGCCGTCATGATTTATTTTCCCTTAATAACAACGTGTTCCAATGTAGCAGTATTAGTAGTGTGATGTGTGTTACTGATCGGCAGATATAAGTAATATGCATCTCCAATCGAAAGTGGAATGTCTGGAGACAGAAAGTTGAGAAGATCGAAGTGAACGAGGACAGAGAGTGATTGGTAAGAAAATTAATGAACAATAAAGTCTAAGACAATTGAAGGACATTTTGTAAATGAAGCATTTACTATACAGTTCCGATTTTACTAAGTGATTCTGTAATTGTGTGTTCTGACACGCCTGGTCGCCCCCCTCCACTTGTGTTTTCGTTCACTACAGTGACATTAGTCAAAGTGACAGTATGAGTAGTGATAGTAGTAGTCAATTCAGAACTTTTAGTTTCATTTTCTTCATTATTATCTGTATAAATTGGCCAATTCTGTCAAGGAGGTTTTATTAGTCATGAATCTGTCTTATATTAACTGTAGAAGCTTCGGTTATCTAGGATTTCAAATAAACCATATTCTAAACACCAAATTCCCAATAACAATGATTAGAATAACATTATTTTTATTTTTCTAGAATAATAACAAAATAATAACCATAATAATAATATTAGTGGTAATTTCTTGTGTTATTGATACGGTCTAATGAATTAATCGATCATTCTGTTTACATTTTCTCTATTCATACAAATATCTTTCGATAATCACGAGTTATTTGAAGACGTACCTTACAATACTCAGTTACAAATGTCAAATAGTCACTGATCAAATAATTTTTAACTCCAATAACTCCATTTTTATAATATATATGCATATAATCAATGATAAGAATCTCGGATGCCTGACCTAAATAAGTAGTATATATATATATATCGATTTATCATCATTCTAAATCATACATGAGTATTCATTTATCTTGTCGTTGTGACAGTGTAAAAATAGATAACGTAATACAAAAATCTGGACTTTCTTGATTTTTATTATTAAAAAGATTTACATTACCATACCAAATGGTAGCGTTCAAAAAATTTACGAATGGGTGAATGTACATCCTAATAGAATCGTAAAAATAGTATTTTACAAATCTAACACATGGTAGGTTTAACTATGATAATTTAGTGTTAATGTCACAGTTTTTATATACTTTTAGTGTTAGCGTTAGCCAATCACCTTTAAGTTTAAGTGGTCAAACGATCATAACATCCATTCATTATACTACTTATAAATAAATATATTCATTCCGTTTTAGCTTATTACATTCGGTTGATTGACTAATAAATAATATCAAGCTTTATTCTACTTAATTATTTGAAAAAGTAGGCAATGTTAACGTATACACATTACAGATCAATCATATCCCTGATTGTTAAATTGGACATTGTGATTTTATATTCTCATTCATGCATTTAAGGGGAGATTCCGACCGATGGTATGTGTAGAACTACAATTTTTTTAACTTCATAGTCAAGAGAATGTAGATTCGATATGTTCAATTTATTTCATATTGAGTGGATTTCTAAATGGTGTAAATAAAATGGAGTTAGACCGATAATTGAGTATTTTGCAATTTATACAATGCTTAGTACCCCTCAATGATTTCCGATTGATTTGATGAGTGTAGTATTGTGAAACGCATGAATGAATATGATGTGTTTATTATTTTTTTAATTGTGATATATATGTGACTGAATAGCTTTAACGATAAAACACAATAATGATAGCAAGAAGAAACGGGATAATACAACATAAGAATAATATCCTTAACCTAAGTTTCGCTTTATGTCACTAGTCAGACGACGTTGGGTTACTTAGTCTAAAAACCTTATTTTCAACTCTATCATTCATCATTAAGGACTAAATATCAACATTTATGTTTCAAACATGATTTGTGGCTAATGAAAGTAAATATGACTGGCTATTAAGCATAGGCACACGGGTACTCAGTTTATTGACTGCTTAATATGTAACTGACTTTACGGTTTTTCTTAAAAATTTCTACTTTGAATCCTCTGAGCGTGACTACTTGTGATTACATTCAATAAGGTCCGTCAATATACTCTGGGTCTGTATTATTGGTCATGTATCATGTAGCCTAAATTTATGTGATACAATTTGTGCATCGAAATCTCGATCACTGGTTATTTTATCATATTATTATTTGTGTGAACGAGATAATATTTCCAATCATCTGTTATATCATTACAGCAGAACTATACTGAGTCGAGGTTTCTGTTTGTTACTATCTGTTTTAACTTGTGCCTGTCAATTATAGAACAGTAAATTATCGACAGGATCAATAACGCAGTCTAGAGACCTTATTGGTCCTTCTTCCCGCCTATCCCTGCCTGTTAAGTTCAGAACACAAATCTCAGCATCTGAGATATGATTCATATATTTCAAACATACTGGGTTTATATTCCAACTAAACAGACCACATCATAACATAAAATTGGAAACAACATATGTACGACATCTAGCCAAATGTGGCTGTGAATATGGGAGATATTATTTACTAAAGTGGGTATAACTTAAGAATGGTAAGTCGTATAATAATAATTCATAGATCAAAATAAAGCATAGAATAAGGCGAACACGAATATGAATAGTTTAGTTAGTTAACAATTATATGATAAAAATTTACGTATAATATTAGACCATAAATGGATCCCAACAGTTACCATTCATTATCCCCATCGGGATATAACACTATCCAACTTTTAGTCAGTAGAAAAAACAAAAACATTTCTTTGTTAGTTGATCGAATTCTTAAAATAATTTTTTTTATTTCAAAAGTGAAACTATTATCAATGATCATCATTTATATATACATAACTTTGTATTAAGTATCAATAATTGAAATCATGTGTCAATTAAATCTAAACCACTATGAAAAACCTGAAAGCATTAAACCACCGTTTTGTCCTATTGTATGACTCTTCAACAGCGCTCTTTAATTGATTCATGATTTTAATTAATAAAATTCCTAAAAATTTTCCACAAACCCCCCCTTTCATATTCAATAATAAAGTAAGAAGAAAAAAATAAACAACAAAAAACAAAATGACAACAACAACAACAATAACAAAACTTACTGTAAAATTATTTTCTTCAATAAACTTATTGTATAAGTTATTGCTTTGTTACTAGGTAAACGACATGGTTGATAATATAATTGAAATAATTTCTCATTGAATTCCAATTTAAATAAAACATCAGAATTCCAATAGAATTGATTATAATATAATTTATTGATTATTTTAATATTATTAATATAATGTTTTGATTGACATAGTTGTATTGAATATTGTATAATTTTTACTGGATATGCTGTACTAATATCCATACGTTTATTAATTGCATAAACATTAATAAATAATTTTAGTGAATTATTCATATGTAAATCATTTAATATTTGACTTAATGTTGATGTTAGTCTAATCTTTGAAGAAGAAGAAAAACAAGAAGAAAAGGAAAAAAAAGAAAAACAAAAAAAAGAAGAAGAAATCAAAAAGAAAATGATATTTTCAATGCGTTTTATTTTTCTTAAAATGATTTTTTATTAACAAATTAATAATTTCATCCTATTGTGAGATTCTTTAGTAGTGTATATTTATGAATTTTACCTTGGTATGATTTGAAACTAAAACCTATTGATCTCATGCAAGCTGATCAATGTCTAATGACATGTTCATGTTTAACTTGAAGTAATTCATAAAAATAAGCGATATAATCACTATTGTCTTTAAAGAGTTATTATTTTACAACAGACCCGGTTGAATTCCGTTAGTGATCTAGCTTCAATTAACTCATGATATGAACTAGTGAAAATAATAATTGTAACATCCTAGTGAAGATTAGATTACGGGTAAATTCTGACAACTAATAGTGTACTAATATTATACATATATATTCTTATTGTATAACTATTCAGTAACTAGATTGTGTATACCTATATTTCTCTTATTATAAGCTTTGTTTTAACCAACAGACTATTATTATACAATTTACTGTTCTTAAGTTATGTGTAGTTTGTTGATTACAGTCTTTCACATTCACAGCCACTTTTTTGCTTGACATTGTACAAATGTTATTTTCTATTTAATGGTGTGATTTGGTCTGTTTAGCCAGTATATTAACCAAGTATGTCTGAAATGATTTGTATATTGAAAGCTGGTATATATGCTCTGGACTCAACTGGCAAGGCTAGGAAGAAAAAGGGCCAAAAAGGACGCTAAGTTGCTTATGATGGTCGAAATTCATTGGTTTGGCATAGTACAAAGATTGTATAAGTCGTATTTCGATTAGTAAAAAAATCAAATGATAATTAGACGGGCTTAAGTTATAAATAATAATAATAACGTCTGTCTAATTTATTACAATTCATTATGGGTTAACAAAAAAAGAAACTGAGTAGTTGATATAATGCAGCGGAAGTGCAAAGACATAAATTCTGTTGCATAGATATTCGAAAGTCACTTAAAATCCTTTTTAATCTCTTGTTAAAATCTCCACAATTTCTCTTCTGATAATAATCATCTGCTCACTGCTGACTGACTTCAAGAAGCATTTCCTGGAGTTCTAGTGAGAAGCCGTGACCAGTGGAGTTCAACCAGGTCAGTTGTGAGATAGTAACTCACTGATGACAATGGTGGACGGTGGCGCAATTTGGTGGATCGGTTGAAGTTAGACATTAACACCGTTGGATGCCGGCCGGCTCAGTGGTCAAATGGTTAAGCGCTCGCACACGGGACTGATAGGTCTTGGGTTCGGATCTCGCAGGGGCAGGATCGTGAATGCGTACTGCTGAGGAGTCCCACTATAGGACAAAACGGTCTTCCCGTGTTTTAAAGATTTCCATAGTGCTTTAGCTTCAATCGACTCATGATTTTCAACTATTGAAATTACTAAAATCTTCACAAAATCCCTACTGATAATGCCTTTTATGCTTCATCACACAATTAACTTGTCCAATTACAAAAAAATATTGTATATAAATATATTTTCGTATCATTTGTGATCAGATGGGAAAGTTCTGTTAGGTAATAACTGTTTATTATTCTTCACCGTATTATTCGTGTAACATATATATCTACATTGCTAAATGATATTCTTAAGTACTTTGCCTGGAACTTAAATGAATAACAGTTATATTGGTTGTAGCTTAAGATATTACTGTCTTTGAAAATAGGATTATTTAGGGAGTAAGTACATTAGACTAACAAACCAAGTCCATGATTATAAAAAACGAGTGCTGTCCTGTAAATGTTCGTTCTTAGAGTTCTGTTGAAAAGTTATGCCCAGTGAGATTTACATATACTTGGTGTGAAACAGTTTTCCACAACGAGTCAAGAGGTAAACCTCACGCCTCAAAACTTTAGGGCTTAAGTTAAATCCCAGATGGGATCATGGATACGCATTACTAAAGACAATGTTGTTGACTAGTACTTCTTGATCTTCTTTAGTGGTATAACTATGATTAATTAATGATTTCAACTATGAAAATTCCACCACCTTCACGATCTCTATACAAAGTAATGTTTCCTTTGAAACTAGTCAAAATCAAATTCAATCTAATTTGATCTAAATTTAATATTAAATAATTCGTCATTTGTTCAGTTTTTCCTACCGGACTGAACCTAGTTTTTCACATCCATGTGTGTTCATTCAAAACATCGAAGAAATATCTTGTATAAGAAACATAGCTCTGCTGAAATCATTCTTCTTTTATTCTAGTTTAAATTATTGCTGTCTTGTGTTTCACATTGACAGAGATGAATATAAACAAATAACAGTTTTTGTAATTAAGTAAAGTTTGAATGAAAATGAGACTATAATTTATGGATGAACCAATCAGATTTACGATAACAAGTCTCGGGTTTTGGGGCAAAATTCCGTCACCCATTTGAATAAATTGAGTTTTGGCATTCTGAATAATGTCATTTTGTGATGAAAACCTTAAATTTAACTGCTAAACTTAATTATCAACTGTAAATTAATTACAACTTCTCACACAGGTTTATAACCCTCATTTAGTTCTAGTCACTCTATCGTTGCTCAACAGACGTCTATAAATTATAATCTCATCTGTTTATCTTATATGAATACTTACTCTTATCATTGACTTTGTACCACATTTATATACATAATTATCAATTAATTTTGGTCTTAAATAATCAGTTTCTTGGAATATTTTAGGTCGTTTAAATTTTTCATTTGTATGATCATTGAAAAATTGATTTAATCTTGACATGGCTGTACATTCATAATAAAGATTTTCATTTGCATTAATAACTACACAATAATTAATTTGCATTGAATTATGCATTACTCCTTTCCATGATATATCTAATGTATCACTATAAAAAAATGGAAAAAAAACAAATAGTTATTTGTAGATATTTTGGTTGCTACTTTTTGGAGTTATTAAGTAGTTTAACATATTCCTCAAAATATTTTCATATGAATGTCGAAAGCACATTATATTCTTCGAGATGGATTGAAATTAATATTATTTAACATTTACCACTTCATGCAATCTGGGCTACATGAATATGTCTTAATATTTATGATGAATATACTGTAATAATAATTTGAATCTGAAGATTTAGGTGAAAACATTTGATAGGATTACTTTCTTTAAACTTGATGATTTGGTTACAAAGCTTTCTTTGTCGATTAAGATAACACTGTCGATACCTACATTAGGATGACGAAAGCTTTATGATTGAACCATGCTTCACAGTGACACATCGAACTACATGAATATAATTTGATTGTATTCATATATGCAATTCTATGTAATTCCGTTTAACATATTCGATCTTCGAGTTTCCTCTTTTTAAAATTATACGTAATATGATCGTACTTAATTCACTAAATAGCGAAATCCCAGATGCTCAGTTTTCCATTTATTGAGATACCATGCATAAGTATTACGATTAGTAAGTTTTCATGGACTCACCATTATTTATATTTTTTTATGTATTAAAGTTTAAATTTATCTCTCTACAGCATCATTTATGTAAATTCAGCCTACCATTTTCTGATATAATAGGCATCAAATGAACCTAGTATGAAACTCTTCATCTGTAAGGGTTCACTATTCAACTGGCAATTAAAACCGAAATCTTTAGACCCCACACGAAATTCTTAACATTCAGAGCAATAAGTCAACATCAAATGGTTTAGATTCCTTACTTCAATTAATTTGCGATACTATCTACTAGAAGTTACTATTCGGTTTCCTAAAGTCATATTAATTCAAGACATCAATAGTTTAGTTCATACAAATATTTTTCTGTTAGTCTTGATGTTTAGTTTAACTGAACCAAGATAAATATGGATCATACATTTTCGAGAATTTCATTCATATATTTGACTGGCTTTATAAACTATTATAAATATATTCGGAATTATTTAGGTGATATGTCAATAATGTTTTTAAAACATAATTTCATCCATTCATTCATTTTGATTACTCCCATAGAAACCATCAATTCACCAACATTGACATATATAATTAATGCTAAATATTACGTGATATATCAAGTCTTAGACATTGTGTCTTACCAATTGCTTCCAAGTAATCAAACATTTTTCTGAATATAACATCGAAATCTGTGAATATACATCATTAAAAAAAAGCTTTTTAGTCTGTATAGAGATGACAATTTAATAAACTTTCAAACTAGTGTTCTAGTATATTAGGAATAGTGTTAACATTTAACTTTATTTTGAAATTTTCTACAACAATCACCAAAACAGTACAGGTTTAATAAAAGTTCAATGCTAATATATTTAAATATATCAATTATATTAAGGTATTAATTGTTCTTATTATTTTAACTATAATTGATATATTTGATTTCACAGATGAATTGATTTATGTTGATAAGTCTATGAATCAATGTATATGATGCTTAGTTTGATAGATACAATGAAATAGTTCCCGTCTAAATGAACTTTAAACTATGGTTATGTCAAGTATGATGAGTTATCCTCTTTTCGTTATCTGCAATTCATTAGATTCTTAATAATACTGAAAGATACGTATCAACTTTACTTTTGACAATATTGTGATAGCTTTTTTCATAAATTTTTGATATTATTATTTTAACAGTATATAGTTGTGGAGATTGTTAAGTTTTTTATTAAGATCATAAATCGATCAATTTTAGACTGACAATAAAAACCTGAAAGCACTAAACGGTCGTTTCGCCCTAGTATTGGACTCCTCAACAGTGTGTATCGACGATCCCGCACCAACGGGACTTGAACCTAGGACCTTCGGTTTTGCGCGTTAATGCTTAATCTCTAGGTTGTCAATAAAGGTCTAACATTCATCTATTCGTGATATCAATTTAAATTGAACAATCTCTACAACCCTATACTGGTAATTATCATGTGCTTACTAGTGACTGACTTCAAGATGAACTTTCTGGAGTTCTACTGAGAAACTGTGGTCAATAGAGTTCAACCTTGTCTGTTGTGAGGCAGTTACTCACTGAAGACAATGGTGAACTATCGTGCAATATAATGGATTGGTTGAAGCTAGACATCAACACCGTTGGGTGCCGGCTCAGATGTCTCGTGGGTAAGTGTTTGCACACGAGACTGATAGGTCTTGGGTTCGAATCTCGAGGGGCGTTATCATGGATAAGGATTGCTGGGGAGTTCGATACTAGGATGAAACATCTATATAGTGCTTCCAGGTTTTTAATGGAGGTCTAACATTCACCTATTCATAATATCAATTACTATTTCAGTTTAAAAGTAGTATACAATTTATCTGTGAAAAAATTAATGAATGTCGAATTTTATACTGTCTTTTGGTGAAGTAGTGAGAAAGATAATATTTCACAAAGGCCATCTCCTTAAAGTTAAGATGCCAAATAGATGGGTATATTTGAAACATATTTTAAATTTCTAAACAATACTGAACTCCATATTTTTTGCGAAAATGAAATATGGAATGGAATGTTTGGAATTTTAAACAATTATCTAACATCCATTTATACATATTGATCATCAAAAAATAATCTTTATGTACAGTCATAAACTTCATTTGGTACGTAGAATAGTAATAAAATTTTTTGAGGTCTACATCATAGATTGATTTCAGTTCGGTAAATTGTGAATACAAGAAAGTACAGAACAGATATTTGATCAGTGTTGGACACATCAATCGCAAGGTGCATCCACAGTCTCACTAGTTTTCGAACAAAGGATCTCCGAATTTAGTGGTAAGAGACTAACTTTCAGACCATTGAACATGCATCTAGTGGTCAGTAAATCTAAATTTAGTCAGTTCGCGATATTGTTCGATCTTTCACCAATGTTACTGGTCATTTAACTAACTCTGTAACACCTAACATGGTTGAACTAACCTGTCCACATCTTTCTACTAGAACTTTTAAAATAGCCTCTCGAAATTTCCCATCAAACAGAGAAATGACATAAATGAGCTCGTGTATCTATTGCCGGTTGCAGATACTCTCTTTTGTTGAAAAAAACACACACTGCAAAATCTCAAGTAGTCAATTATCTTTTCTCCTCGAATTACATATGATTATTGGTATCATTCGTAAGTACGAGAAATTTGCATCATTGCGATACCATTTCCGTCATACTATATATATATATATATATATATATATATATATATATATATATATATATATATATATATATATATATATATATATAATTGGATTGATGTCAGCCAACTCCCATATGGATTAAAATGAGGCAAGGTATCTCGTATCAATTTACCAATGACTGTTTTATTAAATTTGCACGAATATAGAATCAATTAGTTTGTCAGAGTCAGAGTCAAATTTGACACATATATGCAATGGACCAGGGTACTATACAACAATAGGACAATTAAATGAATTTTAAAAATGTAACTACCAAAGAGATTTTTAGAAAAATGTAGTTAAGATGATGATTATGAAAACTAAACATTGAAAAATATAGTTTAGGAGAAGGTATGAAAGATTATATAGTGAGATATTTGTACTTAAGATCTTGAGTGAATACATTACTACTATGACGACTGAATTTCAGACATGTTATCCAACATCTCCAATCACTTATAGTGCCTATCTCTATGACCCCAATCAAGTAGTCTGTATCTACCAAAATAGATCATACTAAATATTAATAAGTTCATGAACTGGTTTAGGTGCCTTGAGTTTTCTTTCAACCAATCAGTAATTCATCTAGCAAAAGGTACTGTGTTAGGTAGTGATTAGTTATACCTAATATATGTCCCATCTATCCCAGCTGACAAAGATTAACTACCTCATCAATGAATTTTTCATCCAGTACATTGACCCCAATTAATTGTTCCTTAATACTCGAGGAATATTTTAGATAAACACATAGTCGCAACCATTTAGCTCCAACATATTTTCTCTACAATCGTAGATAACCTTTCACAGTCGTAGAATACTATCGTGTAGACTGCTTCTGGGTACGCATATAGATAGAGTATATTCTTCTCATCTATCATTTCAATTGATTTCGTCCAATTACTTCCTTTGGTTTATCAGCTAACATCAGTTTTTTTCATAAAAGATTATTGACATATAAACAGAAATATTGAAATTTCATAGGAAAAGGAAATGTGAATTACTAGATATAAATAACATATAACATAAAACATAATAATAATAATACTAATAATAATAATAATAATAATAAAACTCTTACTTATGAGAAGAATTAATGAACATACTTTGTATTTTGTACTAAACATACAGATATAGTTGAAGTTTTATCCAATTCTGGATAACCATCTAATGCATGTTTTGGTGAACGACGTGTACTAAAACGTATATTATATGTATCACCAATATTACCATATAATCGTACATTTAAACTATCTGTTTTATATTTAATTTGTGTAAAATGTAATCTTGAACGTGTTAAACCTAGAATAGTATCACCTTGATTAGTTAATGTAAAATTTGGTAATTTTGTTTCACTTGGAAATGGTTCTACACGAATTTTTTGTTGAGGCCAATTTACAGAATCTGTAGAGCAAAATAATAATAATAATATATTACTAACAATGAAATCATATGTTTACATACTTATTATGAATTATAGGTAGTAGTGAAATCTAGGACATATTTCTCAACTGATTAAGGACTAATCAGATGGATTTACCTTTCATATTATTGTGATGATGTTCACATTTAAGATTAAACTCATTAAATTACATTTCAAACGTAAACGCGTTATTAAATGAGCTGTTAAATTTAAGTAGCTACTGAATTGTTGGATGTTTACGGCGTTTATAAAAAGTTCTAAATAAGACAAAACACGCGTCTTGAATTCCACTTCTAACCATCATCATCTTAGATTACAATGCTTTTGACTTGAGGTAATATAGAGGTAATCCGTAAAGGGTGCGCATATGCCAATAACAGAGTGATCAATTGCAGACTTAAACATTAATAAGAATATTCAAAAAATCAATACAAAAATCAGTTAAACATCACCATATTGCATAAACTAGTGGCTATCTGGACTCAGCATCTAAGTGGATAATACGGTGGAGTTTGAGGCGAACAGTACTGGGTTCGAGTGTCGAACTGAACATCAACTCTAGGATGAAGTTACATTCAACCGACAAGTCCCAAAAAGGACGAAACATGCGTCTTGAATTTCACTGCTAACAACAATCATCTCAGCTTATCATTAATAAATGTCTGCAATATCACGTTATTGATAATTGTGACTAAATTTTGATCAGTCTTTGTTCGGATATATGTATCCTTTAAAACTTATGCAAATCATGTTCGTGCTAATTTAAAAATAAACTCGTTTTCATTACTTAAGATGCAATCTTCTACTCAAATTTATCAGTTCAGTAAGGTGGCTAACACAGAGAAACACTAAATTGTTGTTTAGCCTTTTTAATTTAATGTTTTAACAGTGTAAAATATATGACTTCGTGAAAGATCAGATCACAATGGATTTTCAGTTCATATGATGTCCTTGATATCATCAAATCATTCAGCTTGAAATGAATTGATACACAATTTTTTTAGCCAATCACTTCATGACATCTATTTTATGTTTTGATAAGTTATCATTGCTTTTTTTGAGTATGTTTAGAACATAATTTATCTGACTGTAATCAACAATTTAGTAATCCTACACTTCAATTATATTCATTATCATTCATTTTAAAGATTTATCCTTTTCTTCTGTAAATATTTAAGTCTGAATTTGATGTAACTCCTTAAACAGATCTTTCTATAATTACCTACTTTGGATACTGGGTAGAAATGAGTTCTGCAAAGATCTTTCCATCTTTTGTACAACTCAAAAAAATATGGATATACATACATTTTTGCATTGATTTTAGATTTTACTCAAGGCAGATTCATAGACAAGTATTGTTAAGAAATCTCATATCAACACCCCAGTTTTCATTGATACTTTAAATGAGATCAGCCTTTATCAAATACATTATACAAATTCAACTAATCATTAAAAAACACTATCAACTTGGCTTTTTTGAAGTGTCGAAATTGTTGAATACGTTTAAAAGTCTTTCAATATTGTTCAAACTATCATTATCTATTATTCATGAATCTGTTCTGAATTCTTTATAAATTAGGGAAGACATTTCACTTTTCATTTAATTGAAGTCTTAAGTTTTGAATAACTGCCTCTGTAGCCCCTCTGGGTCTACTGCTTATCCCAAGACCGGATAAAGAAGGAGTGTTGGTCATGGGGTTAGAGACCCCATTCCGTAGAAAACTAACTCAATAACTAACGCTAGCCAGATAAAAAATGATTCAACTTAAGTTTTAAAAAATTTATAATAATTGTCGATTCCTTTTAAAAAGAAATCTTTAAATAATTCAAGAGTCTTTGATTAATTAACTTTCAATTAACTATTAATCTACACATTGAACTGATGACTTTTCTTTATTCTTTCATATTGATTAGCGTATTTAAATAGTCAACGACATATTCATTTTGATAAGTTGGAGATCTATCAAGGGAAAATTAATATAATCAATATCTATAAACATTAAGTGGTATTGTAAACAAAGATAGATGATGGTTGGCTTCCGAATCCAAGAAGTGAGTTTCGCTATAATTGGAACTTGTCCGCTGGATGTGCCTGCACCATAGAGTTGATGTTTGCTCCGAAACTCAAAAAATAAAAAAATGAATTAGACCATATTATCTTATTGAATTAATGAGTATTAGAATTATGGTATCAGTGAAGACACCAATTTATTATATTTTGATAGCATGTTTGTACATATGAGTTGTTGATCAAGAAGCTGATTACAAGTCATTAAAATGCATAATCATTCAATGCAAATTCTCATATTATGTAATAATTCTGAAAAAAATTTTAAGACTCGTTTCTCAGTTAGTTTAAGGTGACTTGATCAGTTATTGTCTAATGAACAAACAAACATTGATATATTACTTATTTATTCATCTAGTAACCGAGGCAGAGAAATCCTTGATTTATTTGAAAAAGTTTACTTATTTAACATTGGAATTTCATAGAAATATGATTAGTTTTTTTCTAGTCGGTAACCCAGTAACTGCCATACATGATAGTTTTCATTCTAACACATCAGTCATATTTATATATGGTGTAACCTATGAACAATCAAGATGTACTGTTTTGAAATCCCTCCCCAATAGGTAATATATATATTTGGCTATCCATACTAGATGAAACCGAAAACTTTCAGGTCTATTGATGAGATAAGCCACAACTTCATTTAATCAGTGATATCACTATTGAATGTGATGGGAAGAAAATCAATATTCGATTGATTTACTTAATATGAGTTTTATTTATCATTAAATTGAATCAAAAAGGATGTAATGATAAATAAAACTCATATTAAGTAAATCAATCGAATATTGATTTTCTTCCCATCACATTCAATAGTGATATCACTGATTAAATGAAGTTGTGGCTTATCTCATCAATAGACCTGAAAGTTTTCGCTTTCATCTAGTATGGATAGCCAAATATATATTACCTATTGGGGAGGAATTTCATCAATAAAGTCTGTTTTGCATTTTTCACTACATGGATGAACTTCACAAATCGTGACTTAATAATAATTCACGAAACCTATCAATGAATTTTCGTTAGGGTTATATGAAAAATTAAATTTGATCAAAGATTTTCCAAATACCTAACTATTTGTATACTTCTTGTGTATATTTCAATATTTAACAATAGTTCAATTGATTTAAAAGCAAAGATCATTTTTATAAAGATCCGTTCAATAGCGCAAATCATATTCAGTGGTCTAGTGGTTAAGTGCTCGATAGCGAGGCCAGTAGGTCCTGAGTTCGAATCCCACGGGGTGGGATCGTGGATGTGCCCTACTGAGAAGTCCCACAATACGACGAAACGGCCATCCAGTGTTTCCAGGTTTTCCATGGTTGTCTAGCTTCAATTGACTCATGATCTCAACAATTAAAATAAAGAACTTTATTCATAATATCTAATTTGATTTTTCAATGCTTTTACCTATTTTCCGCTTAAATTCAGCGGTGAGATTATAATTTATGGACGAATCAGTCAGATTTACGATAACAGGTCTTAGATTTTGTCGCAAAATTCATTCACCCATTTGGCTAAATAGAGTCTTGGCATTATAGCTGATGTTAGTTCGTGATGAAAACCCTAAATCTAAATCAACTGTAAATCATAATCCGTATTCTTCAAACTGCTTTATAACCCTCATCAAGCCCTAGTAAGTAGGTAGACACACTCAAGGTCACTTTTACGTCGCTCAAAGGTCGTCCAAAAATCTAGTCTCTGTTCATGTTCCATGTTGTAATAAAGATCTTGATTCTAATATCCTGTATAAATAAACTACATGGTAATTTATTTCATGACATGAAATACGTAAACAGTTTCGTTGAACACATGAACACAATTGAATTAATAGAAACATGTTTATTAGCGGGTACAATCATGATAAATAAAAATGACACAAAACTATACAGTTTATGGTTGAAAAATATTTATAAGTACACATTACTGAATTATTGCTGGATCAGATGAACAATTTATAATATTAGTACAAACACAGTTCAGCACATGATGTTCATTTGTACTTACATTGAATCCTAAATAAATATTTAATATTAACAGAATTAATAACAAATAGGAAGACAAAGATTATCAGAAATGTGTGATGTTAAATATTAGCGGAATACATTTCGAACAACCTGAAGAGTAATCGTGATCTAGAAATTAGGGTGTGTGAACATGTACTTAAATGGTTGTCAAAACAAATAGAATCAAATGACCCAATTAGAGTAGAAGATAAACATCCACCAGCTACTATGGGACTGGATCTCCTGACGTTACTCCACTGCCTTGTGGATCAGACTTTTGAGTCAAAGGCTACGGGCGTGGCCCCCTAAGAAAACCACCTGCTTCGGTTTGAGCACCTGGGCAGGATGCCAGCCCTCACATAAACGGAATGATTGATGTGGCGCATAACTATTTGTGCCTCCATGTACTAATGTTTATGTGTTTAAATAAATAAATATTCAAAAAGAAAAGTATATTCATTATAATTATACTCACATTTATCAGATTTCGATAATTGTAAACCATAAACGTTACTTTCTTTCCATGGTTCATTATAAGCAGATGATCCAACAAATTCAATACGATTCAATAAATTTGTACATGGTGTTACAGTAAACCATAATGATCGATTATAACCAATAAAGTATTGGATGCTGTATAAAAATAAAGATTAATAAACAATTAAAAGGCACTAGTAAACTATTATTATTACTAATACTATTATTAATATTGTTGAATACCTCTTTTGTGAAATTGAACTAATGAAAATAATGAACTGGTATCTAGTCACTTTATTAAACATTGATGAAAGAAAGATCACTTTAATATGAAAGGAGAGATTGATTACCTGTCATTATTCGTTTTTTCTTCATTATTCAATTGTTTCAATCATGTATACACTTAATAAGTCTTTATTTTTCCATAGAGAATTCAAGTGTAAAGAGTAGGTTATAATACACTAGACTTTCATTATATTTAGTTTTTAAAAAAATTAAAATAAAACATTTTTGATTGACGAACACTATTTTAGTAAACATAAATATCCGTTTCTGAAAATAATAATCATATGCTTATTAGTGATTGGCTTCAAAAGGTATTTCCTGGAGTTCTAGTGAGAAGTAGTGATCAGTGGGCTTCAATCAGGTCTGTTGAGAGATAGTAACTCTCTAAAGACAATGGTGAACGGTAGCGCAATTTCGTGGATTGGTTAAAGTTAGTCAGTGGTTTAGAGGTTAAGCGCTCACGTGCGAGACCGATAAGTCCTGATTTCGAATCTCGCCGGGGTGAGATCGTGGATGCGCACTGCTGAGGAGCCCGAAACTAGGGCAAAATGGCAGTCCAGTGCTTCCAGATTTCCCAAGATCATCTAGTTTTAAATGACTCACGAACTCAACTATGAAAATACAATAGAGAAAGTAACATTATTGAGTATTAATAATTTTCAAAGAAAATTCTTCGATAAATATGATCAAACACATCCACGTCTTTGAAAAATTAACACTGATCTTAACGTTGATTTATTGTTGAGTAATAGCTTAAGTTATACTATCACTACTCAGTGATTAATCAGGGTAAATATTTCATTCTAAAGTATATTACTCTTAGCTAGAATAGATCAATGACAATGTCGCTGACTGTGTAACTGTTCTGCTTGAATTCTGAATATAGCAAAAAACAATGATTTTGTAAAGATTGCTAGTATTTCTTATTATTGATTGCTAGCTAATACGTAATCACACTCAAGAAAAGATTTCATGAAGACTATCTCCAACCACGTAACCTCAAAATACTGGTATTTATTGGTTGAAAATCGTAATATTTTTCCCTTTTGCAATATTTATTTATAGCATGCTTATAGAAAATTTTTAAAATTATTTATCTGCTTGTTATAATTTATACATTTGACCCGATATGTAAAAGTATGAGTCTGATTGAACGCTGAGAGAACAAACCAACTTCCAAATTAGGAGGAAATTAGGAAAAGACGTTGGAAGTGGATATAGGACACACATCGAAGAAATCATCAAGCTACATCACGAAGTGAGCTCAAACTTGGAATCCTGAAGGGAAATGGAAAAGAGGAAAATCAAAAATACACTGAGTCGAGAATTGGAAGCAAACATTAATAGGATGAACAGCAACTAGAAAGAACTGGAAATGATTTCTTAGGACAGAGTTAGGTAGAGGAAGCTGGTGGTTAGCCTACGCTTCTCTATGAGAGTAACAGGCTTAAGTAAGTATATTTATTCGCTTTCATTTGACTCATAAGTTGTTGTCATACGTTCTATTACTCCAGATTCTTCATCAATTAATTACTCCCCTACGACATTGGTTTTTTATCACTTATAACAATGTGATTCTCTGTGTTGCTTTATGGTTGGGCATTTCAGGTAACCTTATTATATGAGTTCTGAGTCATGATTAAATTGAGTATAGTAGAGTAGTGATTTGCTTTCTACTTTCGTAATCTGGTTGGCTACTGTGTCAAAAGGAGCTCAAGAATCAAAAAGCGTTAACATCTTGATTACTGTTCATTAGTCGATATGCCGATTGATATTTAGAAGGTCACTGATCCTACTTGCCGCTTCCCTTTGCCTTCTAATTTTAAACATCATTAAGATTTATAGTATAACAGTTATCGAGGTCATTGATTAACGAAGCAAAGCTATTACAATGTAATGCAAACCATGTATACTGTAATTTACCCATTAATTAAACAGTTAATAATAAGCATAATAGTTCTGTTTGAAAACATCTAACTTTATTCATTTTCCTCCTTCCCCCCTCCCAATGTATATTAAAACAATAAATTTGAAAATGTGTATAGAGAGAAGAAAAAATGTGTTCATTAGCAACTTTTGGCAGAAACTAACTTTGTTGATTCATTATTCTATGCATCAAATAAATTATACCAAGTTATAATTATTCATACATCACAGTTATATATGTATTTCAGTTTTATGAAGGAATTACATTTCATATAATGTTTTGTTCAAAACACATTTATGAAGGGTCAAATAATACAACCAAAAAAAAAACAAAAAAACGAAACAAATCATTACTTTAATAATTGCAAACTATCTCATTATTTTAATTGGCGAGACTATAATTTATACATGAACCAATTAGGTATAAGATAAAGAGTTTTGGGTTTTGGCACGTAATTCACTCATCCATTTGATTAAATAGAGTTTTGGTATTATAGCTGATATCAATTCGTGATGAAAACCCTAAATCTAATTCACAATCTTAACCATAAATCATAATTCTAGTTCCTCACTTTGGTTTATAAACCTCATTTGGTAGTAGTTAGTAGGTGGGCATTCTCAAGGTCACTTTAGCATCGCTCAAAGATCGTCCATAAATCATAGTCTTACTTTTTAATTAAGAAAAACTTATGGAGATTGAAGAATTTTCAAAGTTTATCTATTAATGAAAACCTGGAAGTACTGAATAAACCTTTTGTTCTAGTATTGAATTCCTCAGCAGTGAGTATCTACGACTTTGCATGCTTGAACACTAATTATACTTCGTAACGGTTTGTATCAAACAAATGATTTTGTATCAGTTGAATATTTTGGTAACTATTTGGTTTTAATAGACTGGTAGATAATGTATTTAAAATGATAGATGGTGAGTTCATGTTTCAGTGTGAATATTAACACTGTTAGTATATCTAGCTAACAATTTCCGAATGGGGCTAAACATATGTTCTGTGTTCCACTACTAGCCACTGATAGAGAGCAGCGAGTTGCGGAATCTAGGATGTGTGTTCAGTCCTGTTTCAGATTGATATGCACGTACATTTATCTGGTAGTAGTAGTAGCCAATATCATGTTAGTCTAATCATTTATGTGTTCCGAACTCTATTGATCAGTCTGCAATGTTCCCACTAGTTGAAGTGATTTAATTTGATCTGTACTACGGCAATAAGGGAATACAGTGTTTTCATGATCAATCAAAGTCGCTCATTAATGACGTCTCATACTATGAGGCTTAGTGAAATGAGTTCTGGTCCTGATAGGGAAAAATTAGTTTACTCACGATTTTATTTATTCACCGATGGAACTCAATTTTAGCCAGGTTATATAAAGAAATAACTAAAATTGAAAAAATATGTTGATCATTCAGTTTACAATTACTATTCATTTATTATCATTTTGATCTTATTTCCAGTCAGTGATAATTACTTATGAAGAATATCAAACCATAATGAGATAGCTACTTACTGATTTTCACTTAAATTTCAGAACATAATAGAAATAATTTAATAAAATAAACGATTATCTACAAACCAATAAATGAAATATGTAATCATTTTATACACATTGTAATCAGGGGAGGGGTTTTATGGATACTAAAGTAATTTTTAATAGTTGAATTCATGAATCAATTGAAGGTAGACCACCATGGAAAACCTGGAAGCACTGGAAGGCCGTTTCGCCCTAGTTTGGGATTCCTCGGCGGTGCGCATCCACGGTCCCACCCCGGCGAGATTCGAAATCAGGACTTATCGGTCTTGCGCGCGAACGCTTGACCTCCAGACTACTGAGCCAACGTCCAATGGTGTTAATGTCTAACTTCAACTAATCCACGAAATCGCGCCACCGTTCACCATTGTCTTTAAAGAGTTACTATCTCACAACAGACCCTGATGAACTCCACTGATCACTGCTTTACACTAGAACTCCAGGAAATACTTTTTGAAACCAATCACTAGTGAGCATATGATGATTATAGTAATTTTTACTAAGTTGATGTCATAATCAATTGTCATTTTCATATATATTACAAATGAAACATTTATTAACAATGTCATTAAATAATATTTAAGTCAAGTTGAAAAGGTATTTATATATATATCAATCAAATTCAATTTACTGTTAGCATTAAATATTCTAGATTTCATTCTATTATGTAAGATCATGGGTGGGCCAGTCTCTAGATGAAACAATTATCCATTTTGCTCACTGATGTCATTGTTGTTGTTTTTTTTCAACCTGTCTATTTATTTATTTAGTCTCTTCACTAAAGAAATAATTATTATCAACGAGGTTGTTTTGTGCTCTCCTTCATTTATTTATGTAAAATATATGTATAACAAGATAATACAAATACAAATATAGATATATACATACATACAGACATACATATACACATAAGATTGTTTCTTTCCCAAGTTGAAGTTTTTGGATATATTTTCTTTTCACTTTACATGAATCACTTAATGTATTTCATTTCTTAATGTACATTAAAGAGGTAAACATATAAATGAATCTCTTTCTTCTGCTCTCATTCTCTCACTCTCACTCTCTCTCTCTCTCTCCCTCTCTCTCTCCCCCCCACACACACATTCTATCAGTATTCACATCATTCATTATTATTTATATATTGTACTAAATTTTAACCATTACTAAACAAACAAATTATCAAATATAACATAGACATAGGATAATAACAATTGGCGCTAATTTAACTTAAACTTTATTATATTTCATCTAGGAGAATAGAAGTCACAAAAACTTTTACTCTCTCTCTCTCTCTTTCTTACACAAATATATACAACATATATACAAACGAAATCGGTTTAAACAGACTTCATTAATTATGTCCAATAATCAGTTTATACTTATCTTATGGTTAAAACATGTTTCAATGAAATGTTAATTTACTGTTACTTGCAAATTGAAGAAGTTCAAATCAACGTTGAATAATATAAATTAATGTAATATATGAAAGAAAACAAAGAGCATCCATAAATAGATATTGTTTATAAAGAAGGAAATGGGACCACTTGAATATCAATATGAGTAAAGATATCTTTATTAATTTAAAACTGACTAATGTATATCATTCACCATAGAAACCAAATGCTTCACTTAATGATGGTATAAAAAAAGAGACAGGAAGAAATTACTTTGAATTAAATGATTAACAGAGTAAAAAATGGGAGAAGAGTATTGTAACTTCAAAATATTAAAGATTATGATGCAAGAAGAGTCTTATTCAGTGATCTTATATAAATAGCTTTATGTATTGGCCAATGGTTTCCAAAATGTAAAGAAATAGGAAACTTGGAATGATCAGTATAATAATCAATTTCATCAACAGTGTTGTTTATTAAGTGGTTTGAATAATTTTTTTCTGGTTAGAATTTTTTTAGCGAGTTAGTTTTCTAGGGAATGGGGTCGCTAACCCATGCTCAACCCTCTTCCTTTATCCAAGCTTGGGACCGGCAATAGCCCCAGAGGTGCTCCAGGTGGGTTTTTTATTATTCACATAACTATGAAGAATGTGAGTAGTTGTATTTTTGCTGTTCACAAAGCAACTGAACTCAATAATTTTTTCTACTCATTGTATTTGACAATCTGAAATTCATTCATTAAGCCATGAAATCCTACTTTGTAATAATAGTTTAATATTTGGGACTTTAATATTAAGTCGAATTAAATGAGGAAGAACTGCGTTGATTAGAGTGGGGGTGAAATATGAAACTGATTTTTTTCCAATTGTTTATGACAGTTAATTACATTCTAAGGAGTTGTTACATAACTTAGTAAATGAATTATATAATTGTAACAGTTAAATTTTCTAATGTTGTTAATCTATGTCCATATAGTAAGTTACTGATTAATTGATGTTAGTTTAATTTATGCAAATCTGACTGTAAATCAATCTGATAAAATGTAGTCTATTCAGACACCATATAGATTGATTTTTGATATTCAATAAATCCATATCTAACGTCTTCATGTTCTTATTTGCATCGTTTAGTTCACAATTGAAATATCAAGTATTCTAATAACAAAATAATGTATAACTGATGAAAATTTATACTTTGGAACGTCTACAAAATGTATAATTAATAAATTACCGATTCATTTTAAGTGTATATCACATACGCTTGAATAATCTTTTTTAATTCATTGGAATCTAATAGAAGATTTTGTAAGTGCTTCATTGAAATAATAACGGATCACAAAAAATCAACTAAATTAACTGTTTAAAATGGTTTTTTAATACAAAAGTATCATAAATCAGTTGTGATAAGATGGTGGTTGGAGGTAGTCAATAGGAAACCCTAGACCTAGGTTCCGTGCTACGTGGCACTTATCAGCAAGGTGTACCTTTAAAATTGAGTGACCTAATGCTCTCTGACGGATCAATAGGTAGTGATCAATGTCATATATGTCAGGTCCTTCTTAGTGCCAATCGAATCCTATCGACCATCGAGCATCAGTTCCCTTAAGATTTCAGGTACACTATGCTGATGAGTGCCAAATAGCACGGAACCTAGATTCCGGATTTCCTGTTGACTACCTCCAACCACCGGAGTCATGAAACATCAGAAAATTTACAGTACATTATTTTTGTTAAAAGTGTAATACTAAACATAGTAGCAGTATAGGTAATCATCCAGTTAGAAATGCAAAATGTGACTATTTACTTTCTAAATGTTTTAAGCAAAGATTCTATTAAATGCTGATAGGATAAAATGTTTATTATCGTTTTTATAACTTTTTTTGTCCTGTTTTTTGAGGAATTTTTTAGATCAGCCCAACATTAATTTAAGCTTAATTTATCTTAAATAATGCAATCAATTAACTAAGTTATTTGATCACATTTGTATTAAAATAACCATTCTTTTTAAATATTTAACATAAGTTCAGTATCTATCTCTCTTTTGATCATCATTTCTTCATTTGATGAATAAATGATTCTAGCATGTAAAAGTATCATTCTTACTGATAATTTCATTTCAATTATCAAAAGCTAACTATACTTATCTTTTATAAACATGTCAATGTAGCAATTACAAAAAAAAAAAAAAAAACAAGTCAAATGAAAAATACAAATAAATCAAAAGATAAAGCTTAAAATGAAATTCCCAGTTAAAATCATTCTCATATATACAACATTCATTTATAAAGTCAACAAACATTCAGAATGGATTGCGCTACAGATTCACCGAGACATATCCTATCCTTTATATTTTCATAAACAATTTTAAAAATCACTCCATAAACATTAAAACGTGTGTTGTTTATAGACAAATATATCAATAATTTCAGATGGGTTTTGTGGATATTGTATTAATTTCAATGATTAAGATCATGAGTCAGTTGAAGCTAGACCACCATGGATGTGTCGCTCAATTTCGTGGATTAGACGAAGTTAGACATTGACACCGTTGGATGTCTGCCGACTCACTGGTCTAGTGGTTGATTGCTCGTACGAGAAACCAGTTGGTCCTTGGCTCGAATCTCGCAGGGGGCATGGTCATGGATGCGCACTGCTGAAGAGTCTCACAATAGGACGAAAAGGCCGTCCAGTGCTTCCAGGTTTTCCATGGTGGTCTAGCTTCAACTGACTCATGATCTTAACCATTGAAATATCAACAATTCCCTTATTTTAAATTACTTTTGACTGTATCTTATTTCCTTTTTTCTTCTTTGTTTTTACTTTATTCTGTCTCATTACATTAAATTCAACATCAAGGTCATATTGAACTAAAACAATTGTTGGTAGAATAAAGAAAACTTCTTTTTAAGTGCTATTATCGAAAAGCATCTAATTAAAGTCATTTACATATGTGTAATGTATACACGTAGACAATGTGTTGGAAATTATTGTTGTTGTTCTTTTTTTATGGGGGTGTTAATTTAATATTGAACACTGAAAGAAAGAGAAAAGAACAACAAAAAAGGAAAAAAACAACAATAACAGCTGACGTAAACCATATAACAATAGATTCTTCATTACTATATTTATTTTAGTTTATGATTATAAAATAAAAATGGAGACATTATTACTACTGATAAATGAATAGTAATTTATGTACACTTGATGTTGTTTTGCTTGTATCTTCCTATTGAGTTTTTAAGACTGCGATTGATCAATCTCTTAGTGGCATATTTGCATTTTAAATGTGAATTTAAATTCACCCCATTGCACAAGCAGGTGGCTATCAAGACTCAGTAACTAAGTGGATAACGCAATGGCGTTTGAAGTGAATGGTACTGGGTTCGAGAACTGCAGTGAACATCAACTCTGAGATGCAGGTAAATCCAGCTGACGAGTCCCAAATAGGATGAAAGGCGCGTCAAACTGGATTCTACTGCTAGCCACTATCCATCTTTGCTTGTGATTTAAGTAGTATAACAGATAGTAGTTTGAGTGTATACTAACTCTAGAACATTAAATGTGTTTATGACATACATTAAAATATATATTGTATGATGATGGTTGATATTGAAATTGTTTTTGTTTTCATTTAAAACAAACATTTTCACATGGTTTATTTAATACTTTAAATTTATTATATTCTGTGATCCGATTCAAATACATTCGGGTTCAGTTATCAGAATATAGATTGGATTGAAGTATGTTCCGTGCAGGATTTTATTGGGACACATTGATTGGTTATTTCTTATCCAATCAAGACTAGTGGATACTTGTAATCCAACCTTTTTATTTGGAATATAATTACGTTCCTATTCAACTGTGTTCTGATTTGGGGAACTTGTAGAGTGATGCAGCGTCCAAAGATACTAAGAGATAAGAGTGGCTTTGTCGTAATAAGAGAAATTATAATTGGCTCCAAATATATCATCAACTTGAAATAACATGAAGAAAGAGCACAACTGCATGAAAAATTTTAGAATTGAAATTTAAATAATAGTGTTTTTAACGCGTGTATATTTATGGGTTATCAGACTGACAGGAATATCTGATTACTAACCTAACTTTGATGAGTAATTCACTTGCCTAGACTTGTATCCTACACGTTATTTGGTCTTGGGATCAACATTTCATCTATTATCTTTCACGTTCAACATAGAAACCAATATGAATGATTTATGCAGGCATAAATTGAAAAATTATCAATTACATTCAGAAGGACAAAATATTCGGCTGTAATCCCATAATGTACTTGATCATTCAGTGAATACAGTATTAAAATACTTCATTCTTGCAACTCTCTTATCGAGTTCAATTGTCGTAAAACAGAAGAGTAAACTATTTTTAATACTATTTAGTTTCTTTATTCAGTATAATGCTTTTTGTTAATGTAACAGGGTTGACCAGATTGTTTAATTTCTAGTCTTACATTTTTGGCTGATTTATTCAGAGAATTACTGAAAACCAGGAAGCATTTGTGAGTTGTTCAACTTTCACGAGAAGCTCTTCAATAGTGTACATCTTCAATCTCAAGGTTCTCTATCAGCGATTTTAAACTTATAAACCATTACTAATGAGATTTTCCAGAAATTTGATGAAAATGTTTCAAAAGAATCAAACCTTAATGACCTCATATCTAGTGTCGCTGATCCTCACCATATAATCAGTTCTAGTGAACTCTCTATGCAATGCGGGAAATATGATTTAAATAGTCACACTAACTATAACTTGGGAATATAAGGACCTAACATTATTTCGTGGGGGAGGATAGTCAGGAAATTTAAAGTCAGGATCTAAACTTTGAGTCTTAAAAAAGAGAAGGAATGATGATATGACGGGAAGAAACGTCAAAATTCGATTGATATACTCCTTATGAGTTTTGTTCAATATTACTTCCGTTCTAATTCAATGTGGTGATTACTCAATGTAGTATTTGTTTTCTTTTATGATATACGATATTCTTGTATTCCATTGACATGAACTATGCTCAGTATGTGATTTGTTATAACTAAGCATTTTTATATATGTGATTTCATTATAATTATTAATCAAAATGCGTGTACAATCAACATATAAATGAGAGTATTTTCGACTGGGTCGTCATCGTCGTGTTTTGGGGCTAATAAATCTTCACTTATAGCACTCTTTGTGTTCTTACTTTCGCATCGTGGGGATTGCAAAGGTCCCTCGTTCCGAGTATAAGTGATAAGTGTTTCCGACATAACAATCAGCGACTACCAGATATAACAAGTAAGCATTCAAACGACAAGTTATAACACTAATCAGTTAAAACATACATAAAACAGGGAAATTTACCGAACCATATACAATGTTAGAAAACGGATAGATACATTGAATGAGCAGCCTATCATTATATAACTCTTAGGCAAGACATTAACTATCTTCTATCCATTTTTTGGGGGAAAAATAATTACTACTATCAAGAATGATATAAATCCTGGACATTTAGATTTTTGTACTTCTATACTCTGAACAGCAATTTCCAGTATTGCGTCATCGTTGATATTATGTTTTGATAGATAATCTTAAAATTATTATTTTTGACATTTATATATATATATATATATATATATATATATATATATATATATATATATACAAATGTCTTTTTTACAGAACTGATTAGTAGTAAAGCAACTAATATGACAATAATAAGAATAATACGCAACCTTATTGTTTACGATTTAAACAAATGTTCAATGTTACAATGACATTAATTTTGGACATGTGTTATATCGATATATGTATATACATAATTTGCGGTTAAGTAATAGTAATTATTATATAAATGAACTGTGACGACGGACCACGGATCAATGTCTCAAGAGAACAAAGGCAAGTGATGATGACTGGGTGAAGCATGCGGGGTTAGTAAACCGTGAATGTAAGCGCTTCAAAATATCAGCACTGACAGAAGATCAGTTAAAGTGTCTAGTGTTCGTGTGCACCCTCCAATCTCCCGAAGATGCCGATATTAGAACCAGGATTTTTAGTAAAATTGAACAATGTCCGAATATAACACTACAGGAAGTAACCACAGAGTGCCAGAGATTGGTAAACTTAAAACACGACACTTCCATGGTCGAAAATAATGGTCAGTTGCCATACGTTCATGCTGTAAGTGGAAAGAAAGATACCGGCTCAAGAAATCATCACACACAGACAATCAGCCCTCATCCCCATGCTGGTCGTGTGAAGGTTGGCACTATAAAAGGTTCTGCACATATAGAGAACATTATTGTAGTAAATGTCACCGGA